AAACGACTCAGGCGAAGCTCTCTGGCTTACAGAGACTTGTCTGGCCATCAGTACCACACCATCTGCGGCCATGGAGATCCTTCTAGATCTACCTCCTCTCCATACTTTTCTGGAGAAAGAGGCTAGATGGACTGCACCTGTGCACATTGCCAATTTCACGAATCAATTCAATGCAGAGTGCAACAGACTGCTGGTTGACACTGGAAGTCACAGCATTCTGGAAACGACTTCTGACGTAATGCCTCCAACTGTCAACTACGAACTACCTTATAAAGTACTGTTCCCGAGTAGAGAGGACTGGATCTTGGTGGAGAAGAAAATATTAAGAGCAGATAGTTGTGGGTTTACAGATGGATCAAAAACACCTTCAGGTTCTGGTGCATGTGTTTTCAGTCGCAGACCTAAGACAGAAATATCATCCTGCTTAGGAGCCTAAGCGACTGTATTTTAAGCGGAAATTTACGCTGTTGAATTATGTGTAGAGAAATTGGAAGAGACCAACCTCATACACAAGTCAATAAAAATATTCTCGGACAGTCAAGCGGCGTTGAACGCTCTTGGCTCTTACCAAGCAACGTATAAATTGATAGCAAATTGCCAAAAATGACTCTTCTCGATAGGAAGACTTAACAGATCCTCTTTGGTCTGGTTTACTGGCCATACTAGTCTGGAAGGCAATGAAGCTGCTGACTCCCTTGCAAAGGAAGGTGCTGCAAGCAGCTTCATCGGAACAGAACCTGTCATTGACATCGCCCCAGGCTTTGCCAAACAAACATTGAGTATCTTAATGGCAAGATGATTTATGGACTTCTGGCAGAATCTTCCAGGATTGGCTCACTTCAAGGCGTTTATTCACCCTTGGAAGCTTGATACCAAATAATTGTTGGGCTCAGTAGGGATGAACTACGATGTCTCACAGGCCTTCTCGTATGTCACTTTCATTTGAATTATCATATGCAGAGACTCGGACTGTCGAAAGAAAGTGTGTCGTCTCTGTTTGGAAAATAATGAAACAGCAGGTTTTCAGAGTTTGGCAGAGCTTCGGGTTCAGCCAGCGCTTGAAATGTAAGCACAAAAAAATGTGTTCATTGACGACATCACATTAGAAATCTCTGAAATTATCAGTGTTTCTCTATTATATTATGCATGATATATACGTATAAACCTTCCTCTTGAATCATTCTATCTATTAAAAATCCGCATCAAAATCCGTTGCGTAGTTTTAAAGATCTAAGCCTACATAGGGACAGACAGCGGGATGCGACTTAGTTTTATATTATGTGGTGAAGCAAACTGTATCGTGAACTGTAACATGGATTTTATCAAAATGAAAGCACCGAAACAGCTCTTTATGAGTTCAGTGAACATATGGTGAGTGGTTCGTGCAAATTAAATGTTTGTGGCTTTTTTATTGTCTTCTCCGGAACATTTGACTGCGTAAATCACGTATTACTTCTGTTGAAAATGTAGAGTTGTGGTGTGAGGAGTATTATCTTAAGTCTTACGGAGGGATCTTTATCTGCAAGAAAGAACCCAAATTAGTCACAAATAGCACTACAAGTCTGCCTGACACCAATAAGTCAGGTATTTCTCTAGGAGCCTTATTATTTCAGGAATATGCCGATGTCTTGATAAGCTACTCCCATAGCCTCACCAATTTTCAAATGGAGGCCTACGCAGATGATACAGATTTCCTTGAGTTGAGGATCGGAATTTATTGAGCCTAACGGAAAGTCCTCAAAATATTCATGAACAAGAAGTAAAATGGACAAAAGTTAGTGTAATGTAACTAAAAGAGCTATCATAATATCCAACTTGAATAATATCACTATCTGGTAGTAGTATACAATAGTTTACCAGCTATGAGAATACTGAATTGTATATATAAGAAAATGAATATAAAGAAATGGAATTTCTAAACAGACACCTTTTCCAACACAGTAGTATCTGATACATTCCTGCCAGAAACAACTATTTCCCCAGTTAATACCATGGTGGACATTGAATTATATCTGACGAATATTTATGCAAATTGCAGAGAATAGTCTTGCAGATGCTTCATATTCATCAAGCAGCAGGACCCCACTGAAATCTGTCGAGTATATCTCCCACAGACCGATTTTGAGTTATTACCTCTTCTTTCCAAATATTATTTTGTCTGCTACTCGATTTACTTCAAACGTGAGTCGACTGCAGTGCGAAAAGAAAAAAGTGAAGCTGATGATTACCCCTTCGAAAGCGTCATCTATAAAGTCGAAAAAACTCAAACAAGGAAGGAAGCTATGCATTAGTCAAGTTTCAACATTGATCAACAAATGGAAAACTGCTTCCCTGCCAACAGCTCGATTCATTCAAGCTTATTGATGAGATATCGATAGTGTCTTATCCAGACAATTTTTTTTGTCCTTTGGGAGCTGTCTAACTAGTCCATTTAGTCCAAGTCTCCAGAAAACACTGCAGCCTCTTGGGCTGATTGCGTTCATTCTCCCATCTTCTCATGACACCTATTCCATCAGTCTCGTTCCCTGTACTAGTTTGTACAGGTTCCGTGTTGGATGTTCGTCATATTCTTCTGGGCGTAATTTTGTACGTCCATATATTGCCTGCCTCCTGTGATTCAGTACCTCACATTCGCATAAGATGTGTGGAGGTGTTTCTATCCCTTCGTTGCAAAATCTGCAGCTGAGGTCTCCGTTGTAAAGCCCCATTTTATTCAGGTGTTCTCTAAGCGGACAATAACCGGTTACTAACCCTGTAATTATTCTGAGCCGATCACCACTATATTGAAGTAGTTCTTCGGTTCTTTTCTCGGACGGTTCCCTAATGAAGGTTCTACTGTGTTTGCTGCCAGGTACTTTTGTCCCGTACTCTGTGTGCTTCTTATTGGTCCATGTCCTAATCTGGTTTCGTACCAATGATTTTGGTACCCCCAGAGCTGGTTCAGGACCTATATATGAAGTTGATGATCTGCGTCTAGCGCATTCATCAACTTCATCATTATCTGTGATTCCTGAATACCCTGGCACCCAGTACAAAGTTAATTTGTTCCTGTTTGCAAGTTCATTCAGTCTTCATGGCATTCCCAGACCAGTTTTGATGTCACCTTCGGGTTTGTCAGAGCCTCTTGAGCTCTTGCTGTCTGTAAAAATATTGATCCGCTCATTTCTTTGAAGTCTCAATTTAATAAGCCTTGCACACTGCAAGATAGCATACACTTCCGCCTGAAAGACGGATGTGTATAATCCTAGCGGATAACTGTAGATTCAATTTCTATCCGCTCGGTATATTCAAGCTCCCGTTCTATGTTTGGTCTTCGATCCATCTGTATACCAGGTGTTTTTTCCAAGCATATTTTCGGGATGACTAATGGTCTTCCACTCTTCACAGCTTATGATTTTGGCCGTGAAGTTTGTGTTAAAGATGTACTTCGGTGTCATGTGGTCCGTGCACATATTCAATATGTGCTCCTTCCTCCACATGTTCCGAAATTTCTGTTCGGTCCGATCTTTTGTAGTTCAGTGAGTTTTCTAGTCTGAATTGGAAGGAGGTAGATTCAGGAGTGTCTCCAATGCAGCTGTTGGGGTAGTTCTCATTGCTCCCGTCATTCCCAAACATGCAAGTCTTTGCACCTTGCCTAGTTTGTTGATAGCGGTCGCCTGCTTCATCTGTGGCCACCAGACCAGAGATGGGTATTTTATCATGGGTTCAACCACCATCATGTATAGCCAATATACCATGTCTGGTTTTAGCCCCCATGTTTTTCCATAGGTGCTTCTGGCAAGCATCAGTGCTACCTCCGCTTTCCTTTTTATCCTGTCAAAGTGTTGGTTCCAGGTCAGTTTGGAATCTAGAATTACTCCCAGATATTTAAAGTCCCCCGACACTTGTATTTCTTCACCTCGAAGTTTTAGAGGTCCGATACCCTCCGTTTTAGTCCTCTTGGTGAATGCTACTGTGGTCGATTTGGATAGGCTTATGTTAAGCCGTTCTTCCATCCTTCCATCTTGTTATAATACTCAAGGCCTGCTACATGCATCCCTTCACTACATTATTGTATTTACCCTGGACTAAAATGACTAAGTCGTCTGCATAGCCCAGTGCTTTATATCCATTGTGGTCCAGGAGACATAATGGCTCGTCCATTACAAGGTTCCATAACAGAGGACATAAAACCCCCCTCTGAGGACCGCCCCTTGCTACCCGTGCCACCCGTGCCACGACTGTTACCCCCATAATGGTTGTATATACTAATCTTCCCCTAAGCATGCAGTCTATCCACCTACAGCTTGTCTTGTCGATCCCTCTTCCAGTCAATTAATAATGGCGAATTTTTTTGGAGTAAGTTCCCATCCTCAAGCAGATAAAAGCTAGTAAGCTTGACATTCCTCCTCGAGATTTTATTGGATATCTTGTTAAATAGAAAAGTCAATCTTACCGCGTGTTATAGGTATTTGACCGTATTCAATGAAGACATAAAATTTGCGAATTCATTATAACACGGTAATAAAATTTTCATCTATAGACGATTATAACATCATTTGAAGATAATTTCATCTTGTTATTCATTCAACTAATTAGTATTTTTATAAAGGAGCAAGAACCTCTTCTTGGTCACTTCATACAGGGTAAAAACCAAAGTGTCCATTATCGAAAATATTAGCCTTATAAATTATTTGTTCCAATCGACTTGGTTTTATCTTTTCACCAATTCTAAAGCTTTTTATTAGCATTTAATATTCCACCGTTTTGAACTATGTTCAAAGCAGTATGAGTACCAATTAATTTGTATCGGTTTTGATTTCATATAAATATGTTTCGTTCATATTTTAAAGTCAATTGGTCTTTCAAAGATTTATCGAAATTATTATCATACAAAAGCAGTCCAGTTGACTTTGAAATCACTTATATTTTACGGCGTTGTTACAAAATTATATGCCAGGAATCCTAAAATTTGCTGCAAAATATCAGAGTATCTCAACATAGTTTCTGTTTTTTTGTAGGTGGTCATCGTTGGCAATGGTGGAGTAGGCAAGTCAAGCATGATCCAAAGGTACTGCAAAGGAACTTTCACCAAGGACTATAAAAAAACCATAGGAGTAGATTTTCTTGAAAGGCAAATAGAGTGAGTAGATTCTTTTTTGACCGTTATTTTCATTTGACTTATCATCAGTTCAAATTTCAGCGAAATAAACACTAGACAGTTGAAGTAACAAACAATTTTGGGTCATTCTAACCTTCCTTTTTTGTGAACCTAAAAATATGTTTCTACTACTACGTATTTAGAAATACTTATTCAGTGGAATCGTCAGCCATTGCTGAGACTTCAAGATACTATTTTTGAAAAAAACAATAGGAAGGGATATATTTTTAGGAGTGATTAGTTTTTGGGAAAGAGAAGTTTTCACTTTCTACTTCTTCACATTTTTTGCATGAATATGGAGAAAGTAGAAAGCCGTAACCTTTCTTTCCCAAAAACAAAAAATTTAATCAATATTTTTTCAACAAGGAAAATTTGAACAATATAAAAATGCTGGTAAATACCTTAAATGAATGTCATTTGTAATAACTATATGAAAAACGATATTAACTCGTAAGTGATGAAAATTAAATTCAGACCCGTCTAAAAAAAGTTGAAATTACTAAATGACTTTATAATGTACGTTATCTGTTCAAAAGTGAGGTGAATTTAAATTTTTCCCAAAAAATATGCATTAATTCATCAATGTCTATTTTGTCCTCACCAAAGTGGTCCTCCTCAGATAAATACACTTGGGCCAACCTTTTTTTTCAATTCTCGAAGCAGTTCTGATATGCACTCTTTGGTATGTCCTTAAGCTCTCTCAGTGATTTGGTTTTGTCTCCTCAATCGTCATAAAACGCCGACCTTTCATGGGTCTCTTCGATCTTGCGAACAGGAAAAAAGTCTCAGGGGGTCAAATCTGGTAAATACGGTGGCTAAAACATGATTACGGTGTTGTTTTTGGCCACAAAATTACGAACAAGCAATGATGAGTGAGCAGGTGCATTATCGTGATACAAAAGACATGCTTTTCGCAAGCTGCGCATAAATTCACGATAATACTCCTTATAGACCGTACGACCATGTGGAACGTACTCCTGATGCACTATGCCGCGATATTCGAAGAAAACAGTGAGGGAAACCTTGACATTTGATCGAACTTGAAGTTTTTTTGGTCTTGGCTCTCCGGAGCTCTTCCATTGGGACGATTGGACTTTGGTTTAGATGTCTTAACCAGATATGACCCTTTCGCCGTTAACGACATTCAACAATTCCTGAGCGATGCTCATGCGATGGCTCAAAATTCAGCAATTTTGAAACGAACCTCACTGCTACACGCTTAATTCCCGAAATTTCGAAAAAAACATCCTCAGCAACTTCTGTAATAGTGATTTGACGAATTTCCATAACAATTTTTTTTTCACTTTCTCAACATTTTTGTCGGTTGTTGATGTGCTGCGGCCTCCAGAGCCGCTCCTAACTCACTGCCTCTCCCCAACAAACTAAACATGGTAAACAGATGAAACATGAAACAAGTTAATATCATACTTGGTGTAGTACTGAAGTTTTTTCCCAACAACAAACCGTTATTTTAACCCTTCGACACGTGTTTCGATCACTAAGTGATCATCTTCAATAGGAAGTTTAAACAGTTTAATCTTCCTCTTGAAGATGATCACTTGGTGATCGAAACACGTGTCGATGTGTTAAAATAACCGCTTGGTGTTAAGAAAAAAACTCCAGTAATGTTCATGTTGATGTTATCTTTTGTCTGTATTTTTTTATTTCATCTGATGATTTTCCTGTTTATGTGAGGGTTTTGTAGGTGTTAGTGCTAATCGGGTATACTTGATTAATGACCTGTTTGAAAAGATTTTTGCCAAAGATGTGTTGAATCATCTAAGTAATAATCGAATATTTTCAGTGCCAAGTGCCATTTGGTCTTCCCGCATACCTAAAACCATCATATTAGGAGTTACGGTGAACATGGTAGTCCGCAATTCCAATGACGGACGACAGTTGTACTCCCATCAAATAATGAATAACAAAATATAATTAGAATGTCGTTTATCTCTTCAAGTAATCTCGCAAGTCAATTATAAAGCTTTTGCCGTGTGCGACGGGAAAATTCAATTAATAATGCGATTAAGTTCTCCGTGTTCTCATGCATGTTTACCAACGGTGTCTATGCAAACACAAAAGTGAAATCATAATGGAATGCCCACATTCCATTGCCAACGGTATTATTTATAGAATTTGCCATTTATTTTCGTATGTGCCGACGACTTCCTACTTCCGCGTCATTATACTTTTATAGATCAATAAAAATTGAGTTTACTGCCGGGAAAATTGCAACGAATATGCAGTATTATTTTTACGGGACGCAATAAAATGTTGATTGCACGTATTATTTTTGTCACCGCGACTGTTGATTTTATAGTCCTTGTGATCAAGCTTTATTTAAAGTTTTCAGGCAATATCAAGTTGACCTGCAATTTTGGTTTGTCAAATGTTGGTTTGTAGAAGGATGTGTTTTGCAGGTTATATAAGGGACCAAGTAGGCTCGAAATTTGCCTCATTATCCTTTTTCTATCTTCATTCAATGCCGCCAAGAATAAAAGACACCGTAATTGTATCTTTTTTGCTGGGAGGGGTAAAACGCATGTGTGAAGTTTCACGAAAGGTATAGACCGTGATAATATATAATCATAATTATAGGTGTGTTTTGTTCACACTAATCTCATTCCAGATCGTCATTTCCGCCAAACTCTCTATGCTTGAACAAAATACGTTGAGCAGAGATTTTTAATAACTTTTGCTATTTCTGCTCGATGTATTTTGAACGAACAAAGAGAGTGAATAACTTTTAGCGGGAATTACTCAATCTGGGTACCAACAAAGCTCAGCTAATATCTTAGATATAATTATGAGTTCTGTGGCATAGATCTAAAAAAGAATATGACAGCTTTTCTTATTCTTCCATACATTTCAGTCTTTATTGGCCTTGGCTATCACGATTAATCAGTGAACCGGTATCTATTTTTTCATGTCAACACGTACAGCACATCATAAAATAGTGCAACATGTTTTATAATTGTACAACATGGAGCAACAATGCTGTTTGTCCAAAGAAAACAGTTTTTTCTTACTATACTAAAGTGCTGTCTCTTAACGTGCTTTTTGCCTACCAATTTAGCGCAAACAGTTTTAGTCATCTCCTGATGATGCTAATTTGGTTAGCGAAACGTGCGTTGAGTGAGAGCGTCTTAGTTCTAGTTAGTTCTTGTTTCGTGAATCCAAAACTTTCTCTCTAGGAATTAGTTTAATGACACTCATTATGAAACGTGATGATTCGATGCAAATGAAAATATCAACATAGCTTGTTGAAATTAGTTTTAGTCATATTCTGATAACGCTAAATATCTTAGCGGAATGATGGACAGCGTCGATGGACAGCGCTTCAGTTCTGGTGGATCATTTTAGGCCTGAGGTTCCAATAAAATGGCAATAGCAGTAGTTATTTGTCAAGTGGGTCTCATTGTACAAAAGTGAACGATTCAAATCAATTTGTTCGTTGATGAGGTCGTTGAATTTTTGAATTCATTGATTTCGGTGAGTTTCAATTCTTCTGGAAACGCAGAGTTTTGAATTCACGATTGAATCAATGTGCCTCTGTAAGGAAGTGAGGAGCATACGTTGAGTTCATTTTTCCGTCCTGTAAACCGTTTCTATGTACTCTTATATGTGTTTTAAATGTTCTTTAAGTTTGGCCTATGTAAAACACATGACAGTTTATAAACTCCTGATCTGGTTATCTGACATCAAACTCTTGCCTTTGTTTTTTTCAATATGCCTCCTCAAGTTATTATTAATTTCATGAGCCGTGTTTACCTTTTTTTGTAAAAAAATAAGAAACATCAACGCCAGGTTCACCCAAATGAGTTAATGGTCTGTAATATCTATACCTAGTGACATTTGACTATCACCAAAATACAGTTCATTTGACCAACAGTAAACTTCCACTCTCCACAAGCGACAAAAGTTTTTTATTGGACAAGAAAAGTGTAGAGTGTGAGAGAGACAAACCTCTATGAAAGCCATTTTTGTTGAATCTCAATTGGTGAAGAACAGAAGTGAATTTTAATTGTTATATTAAAAAATATATGAAACTAAGTGAAGTTACAAAATTTCATTATAAATCTAGAAGGTCTTGTGCACAAAGCGGTCATTGGGTCTGAGTCATGTGCTCTGAGCAGACGTAGTGAACCAAGAATGACAGTGTGCTGCATTTATCCAGCAAGATTTCTGCCGTTTTGTGGCAAGACGGTATGACCTTAAAATTATTAAAAAAGGGGGTTCTGGTCAGGCCCTATACCTGTAGCTCCAACCAATTCGGAGGGCGTAACCGTATCGTTAACCAATGATTACTTTCCTTAATCGGAAAATAAACTGTCATTGGGTTCGAGAATCGTGTGCCCTGAGCAGACGTAGCGAACCAAGAATGACTGCCTTTTTTATTTGACCGGCCATTTTGAGATGAGCAGGTATCTTGAAATCAGAGTATCTTGAAATCAGTAGGAGTTCTATAATCGGAGCAATCATTTTAACAGAGTGGTCTGGGTAGTTCAAATATTAAATCTTAATACTTCATCCATTTTTTCTCCTTTTTTTCAAACAATATTCGCTTCGCTCGAAGCGGACAACTCCAACACAAATTTCGTCTTACTTTGATCGTCGAGAAGGACCTCGTCAGTACCATAGGAGTGCCAAAAATAGAACCTAATAATCACTCTTAGGGCAGCGTTAGGTCTTTGGATATAGACTGAGACCGCTGCCAACAGCAAATGCATAAGGGTCTCGGATGACTCATGGCGGGCCTTAAAAGTGTTCATCTTCGTCTGGCAGGCCATGATGAACCCCCCAGTTTTCGAATGAAGCCCACTTGACTCAAGAAAAGCAAATGTCAATTACTCTGATAAGCCGAGGTCTTCAAAGTCGCTGAAGAAGATCCCATGAATAGTCTCATTCTTGTGTAACCATAGTCACAGTATATTGTACTATACAATATGGGTCAAATGTGTTGCAGTTCTAGTGCGGGGTAGCACTGGAACTAATCTGTTAGTCCTGCTAGAAAGTATTCTTTGGACTACATAGGATTGGTATTATACTCTTCTGAACGACTACATTTATAGACTCTTTGGAGGAGGTATTTTAGCCAAATAACCACTGGAACTAATCTGTTAGTCCTGCTAGAAAGTATTATTTGGACTACATGGGATTGGTATTATACTCTTCTGAACGACTATATTTATAGACTCTTTGGAGGAGGTATTTTAGCCAAATAACCACGCAGAAGGTGCTCAACAGTTTTTTTGCGATAATCTGGGACATTATCCCTAGTTATTTATTCCAGTGACATCTTATCCTCTTTCAAGCGACTCACTAGTAAATAGTTTTAAACACTACAAAATAATTCTTTTTACTTCACAGAGTAGACGGAGAAGACGTCCGACTGATGCTATGGGACACTGCGGGACAAGAAGAATTCGACGCAATCACCAAGGCCTACTATAGAGGAGCTCAAGCATGCGTTCTAGCTTTTTCTACGGTAGACCGGGATTCTTTTGAAGCTGCGCATTCATGGAAACTCAAGGTAGTGTAGAGACCAATTTGTGTGAAAAGTCGCAAAACCAGTACTTTTGTAACGAAGAAACGAATGCGGTGTTTGCGGTGTTGAAAGTAGAAGTTATCAATAGTTTACATTGTATTCATTTATTATTTTTCTCACATTGGTAGATTCACTAATATTATAGCATAGTTGTTCAATAATCTTGAATATGTTGCTGCATTTTATGTGAATTAGTAGGAAACGAAACTGTAGAAATACTTATTAAATTTATTCATCAAATATGGAAAATCGTCATAAAATAATTCAAATCCATTCAAGCAAATACGTGAATTGAAAGACGTTTCAACCTCAACTTCAATATTCGAAAACAAAAAGACTCAGTATTCACAGTTCCATCTTTTAATATTTTAAGTTCATAGACATCAAAATTGATGCGATTACAGGATATAGAAATATAAAACAATCTCCAAATACGCAAACTTGCACGGATGCGCATTAAGCATTTTACCTTAGTACGGTGACGAAAGCAAAGATGCTGAGGTTCAGCATATGAATCTTTATAAATATTGAGGGAGGTCAAGATCATCAAAGAGTATTGAGAAATTCATTCAGTATTCACTGATAACTCTTCAAAAACGGTTCCAGAGCACCGGTAGAGTCTTCGTCAGACAAAAACGGCCTTCATAAAAAAGATACAAAACTTTTGAAACAACCTAGTACATAAATCTCATACTGAATTCAATTTTCCGCAAGGCAAAACGCACAAAGTCCTATAATAATAATGCCGCGGTCTCCTCGCTCGTTTTTAAAAAAATGAAAGATCTAGTGTGTGTTTTTCATTTCGGACGCGTTCAAAGCAGAAATTGGCTTGTCGGAAACCAAGTCATTTATTTTAAATTAATGTGTCCCATAATTAGGCTGTTAGCATACCTATTTTTCTGGCAAGGTGATCTGGTCCGTTTGAAGCACGTGTCAGTCAAAATTACCTCTACCAAGTAATGTGGGAGAACATAGGCATGTTCATTCTATGCTCGGACAGATCTAAAAGTATCTTTTTATTTCTATTTGAATTTCTTTGGCAGAGCTCCAATCAGCTCCAGAAAAAATAAGCCCTTACATCATTCATATGTTTGAACAGTCACCTGGATTGTTATTAGATTTACGTTTTTCGTTGGAATTATGGTTATTGCTGCTCCCGAAATGATTGTTTATTAAAGCTTTTTCTGCCAGTGAATATTTAGAATAATTCATAACTTCTTTTAAATATGTCAGATAGATTATTAGAATTTCTGGCGTTCAAAAGATGCAGGAATTATTTTCGAACCATATTTCATTCAGAATGTTCGCGGAAACATAAATTAATTGAGGTTGTTGAAAGAAAATTAGTTTTTGGGTAATCCATCACGCTCGTTTGGTCTGCGATCTGCGATCATTATTTATTATAGTTTTGAATAATGATCGAAACGTTCTTGGAGCCTAAATAAAGGACTTCGTTCCGGATCTGAGAAACTGAACGAGAAACTAATTAATTCCAATAATTATTTTTCACAAATGCCAGGCGCGTGTTTTTGACTGTTTCTTTATGTACCGTCTCGGTGAATTTGACATATACATTAAGTATATATACGCTTGTGCAAGCGTTGTCGAATCAATCAAACTCAATTGCCGCAAAACGCTGCCCGTTCATGGGCCTCTTCAATCTTGGCAACAGGTGAAAGTCGGAGGGGGCCAAATCTGGTGAATATGGCGGCTGAGGCATGATTACGGTGTTGTTTCTGGCTGAAAAATTACGAATAAGTGTTGCAAAAAGCCATGAATTTTTTTTCCACAATACCGGACGTTTCCTTTATATTGCTACTAGCTAGTGGCGACATTGAGATTCGAGAGTAGATGGGGAATCATTCTACCAAGGACTCCAATAATCAGAACAACCATCTTGATAGAGTGGTCTGGATAGAGTCTGCGGAGTACGAAGAGAAAATCTCGATATTATATCCGTTTTTCCTCCTCTTTTCGTCATGCCAGGAGCCAAAAACTTCACTACAAATATCGTCTTGCTCTGATGGTCGAGAAGGACTACATTAGGCTTATTGGCTCGTATGAGCTTGAGGGTGGGGAACGAATAATTCCAAGAAATTCGGCACTCCACAAATTATTCCATTTTCTGGAAAAGAAAAGAAAGGATTAATTAAGTATTCTATTTTACGAAAAATAAAGGAAAGGAATGAAAGTATTTCAAAAGAACTGAATAGAAAAAAAATTTTAAAAGTAAAAAATTAACATAAACCCTGTTCCCACACTCCAAAACTGTTCCGCGACATTCCAATAATGCAAAACATCAATGAAATGCGAAAGAAACTTGTAATAAAAGCAATTTTTTCAGGTAGAAAATGAATGTGGAGAAATCCCCACTGTGATTGTACAGAATAAAATAGATCTCATGGAACAAAGCGTTGTCAACCCGTAAGTACTCATCCAAATAGAATATATAATAATGGAGCAGATAAATGTGGCATTTTGTAAATGTGACACTTACAAGAAGGTTGTCTTAGTGAATAATCTGTGATTTTATGAATTGAAAAATGATAGATGCAAGTATAAATAAATATGTTGTATTCATTTCTGACTCATTCAATTAATTTCAACTTTTATCGTTGATAAACATTAATAGTATAATGTATCATTATCTATTTTATCATTATTATACAACGAAGATCTTTCTGGTATTGCTTATACAGTGATATCTTCCATGACAAACATCAATCACGAACCAACAGATTTCTTGAGAAATATCAATTTATCTGATTTTTTGTAGCTCCTATTACGTCACATGAAGTCATGAAAACAATATTGGCTCTCAAAAATCATTTCTGTATTGATATTTATGACTTGAACAGTTATATTTTGAAAGAAGTTGGAGATTTTTTAGCTCATCCTCTTTCTGTGTTGATCAATTAGTGTTTTTCCGTCGGAATTGTTTCCGACGCATTTATAATCCCAATCGTGATTGTCCTCTTGACAAAAAAGCGATATACTTCAGATTGAGAACTTCAGACCCATTTTCATTATACCAATACTTGTTAAAGTTTTGAAATTCAATTGGAATCCAATTCAATGATCTGCACAGGGGAGTTTGGTTTCAGAATAAATCAGTCCACCACAAAGGCCCTCAAGAGTGGACTGTACTCGTTTGATTAAAATATTCAAATCAAACCATTTCCCTGAATAATTTATATTAATATGACACCGTCATAATGTATATATTTTATGGTTTACATACTGAAAAGATCATTGATATAAATATTAAACAGAAGTGGACCTACTTTGGTTCCTTGGAAAACCGAAAATTTTCAGTTCATCACATACATCTTTCAATATAGTATAATGTAACGATCGTCGTACGACAAATTAAAATCAAACCTTTCAAAATTATTTTCAAAAAGATGTTCACTTGTAGTCATTCCATCTTAACATTCAGATCTGTCAGTAAGAGGCTTTGTCGGTATAGTAACACTAAAATTTCACTCAAAATTATTTTTCAGAGAAGAAGCAGATCTTTTAGCCCGAGCGTTAGGCTGTCGATTGATTCGAACGTCTGTCAAAGAAGACGTCAACGTGGTGGCCGTCTTCAGGCACTTGGCATCGAAATGTCTGGCAGAACTTCGGGATCCTCGTGATTATGACTACTTCACCACGCCAACCACCTTCAGCCCAGATACCCTCACTATTAGTAAGTGTTCCTAAGCGGCTTGATTTCCTTTCGATACAGAGGCCTTTATTTAACAGATCCCACTGTTGCTATCTCGGAAACGGTAAGACCTACAAGGTCGATTGAATTGGACAAAACAACCTGATCTGAATAGAGATTATTTCAATTCCCCATCTCTCTCCCTATCATTTGAAGTGCTGCACCTTACGATCCGAGTAGTATTAACGAAAATACGGTTCAGTCCCCTTTTGACATGACGGGATGTTCAATTTTTACAAGGGACTATTATTTGGAAGAATCTCTTCAATGAATCTAGTGACAAGTTGGATTGGATTATCGTACTCTCCCTATATGATTTTGGGGGGAAATCTAGTGACTTCTTGGGGAAATCTAGGGACATTTTGAACAAATCTAATGACTTTTAGACAAATTCAGTGACTTTTTGGAAAATCTAATGACAGAAATGACATGTTGGATCTGCTTTTTTCTTGTGTAGATTTAAATGGGAAAACGGTCATTACTGTCCTAGTTCTCTCATAGCATATCTACTGAGTACACTTTTTCATATCCTCAAAACTAATTAGCAACAAAGTATATGCTCCTGTTAAATACTCACTTCCGATAAAATAGTGTTCATTGTATTGAACGATAGAAATCATCAGCTAGAAAATAACGCCCATAAGTATTAGATCTTCGAAATGAGTTACTTCAAGATATCAGCTGCAAAATATACCTAAAGCACCATTCATTACAAATATCTTGAAGAAATTTTTCTGGCGTGGAATGCATTTATTCAGAAGAAGTAGGAGTTTTCGATAACCACAGATGGGAAATAGAAACTCATTAAGAAAACCACTATTAATTCCACAAGTCGAATAATAGTCTCATTCAAGGCCGTTTGAATAACTTTACAAATGGTACTGCAGTTGTTTCGGGATATTTGCAAGTCGTCTCCAGATTTGAATTTAGCAGAAAAAGAGACGTGGAATTTGTGCAATTACTTGCGAGCGGTAATTATTGAGAAATTTATTGGCAGCGACGGCGATATGAAAGTTAACTGCTGATTTCTCGAGGTGAAGGAACCTCAATAGTTTTGTTACACGGCTGCTCCTACGCACATTACCTATTTTTATAAAAATCATCACTTTCTCAATTTTTCTTTGGATAGATTCAACAATTTTTTAAATTCATTTGGGTTTATAATTATTTCTCAGAAAGGTTTCACGATTTGATATACAATTCAGTTCTTAAAAAATATTTTATTAAAAATCCATCAAAACTTGTCAGTTAAAGTTGTTAGGTTGTTTCAAAAGTTTTTTCCGTTTCAATGAGTCTAGTTACAAATGTAATATCTCGGAGAATAGTTAGTGAATTCAACCGAAATAAGCGTCATTTGAATCGTTACACTTTTGCTATCGTAACATAAGTCCATCATTTCCGTTAGCAAAAAAAAATGTGTGGTCGGGATTCGATGAAATCGACGAAGACCTTTGACGAATATATCCATTCGGATATATCCGTCAAAGTTCGTAGTATGGCGCTTTCCGATTGGTCGGAGGTAAGAACGCAACGCAGAAAGTTGAAATCAGCCAACTTTTTACCTTGCGTTACCTTGCCTTACCAAGGTTACCTTACTTTACTTTTTATCTAGAACGCAAGTGGGTTTTCTCAATACTTCAACTTTCTTACCCCTTACCTTACCTCATTACCTCGCGTTTTATAAACTAGGGGTAACAAGTTGGCTATTTTCAACTTTCTGCCATGCGTTCTTACCTCCGACCAATCAGAAAGCGCCATACTACGAACTTTGACGGATATATCCGAATGGTGTAAAGGTAATGTCACCAGATAAACTTAAACGGCACATTGTGAAATTTGATTTTTCTTTTGATGGATATGAATACAAAAATTGCCGCGATCGTGTCAATAGTAACTGTGTATGAATGGGGAATGTTCCTTCTGACGAAAATCCAGTAGTTTTCATAAAAGAGCTCTAAAACAACGCATTTTAAACTTATCATTCCAGAATGATAAGAAGAATGAAATAATGCATTCAACATTTAAAGGGATTCGTTTCTATTTCACCCTTTGGCAACATCGGTTATAGCTAATAAAGGACAATGAATCTGTTACCTGTACGAGACAAACAAAGATGACATATTTCAGAGGCGTGGTGTTCTGTTTACTTATGTTCCGAGTTCCGAGACATTCTGCGACATATGACATTTTTTCCTATGAAAATTTAAAATTATGCAACTGTATGATGAGCGATGTAAATTCACTTGAACCATACTAATTATATGGCATTTTGGAATGCTATGTCAGGATAACAGGTGATGACACCAGTGCCGTACCTCCCAGAAAGTCCTATTATGACTCACTTGTATTTTCAATTCATGAGTATTTTTCATGAGTTAAAATTGACAATTCCATATTTCACATATATAATAATGATGATACAAAAAAATGTGGGAATCTTCCTTCCTTTCTTTGGAAGATTCCCACATTTTTTTGTATCAAGATGGAGTAGTAGAAAGCCATAAACTTTCTTTCACAAATAAATAAGTGTGTATCTTTTACTCAAGAGAAAGAAACGAAAAAGAAGGAGGTTTAATGATAAAGGCCATTCTCTCCTATCAGTTGCTTCGGTACCAGACTTTCCGCACTGAGCCACTTCTTTTTTTCTTTGGTATATCTGTCTCTTAAAACTTTATATCGCATTTGATATTGCTTCTCTGGTAGCCCTACTATTTTAGCAATCACCTGCCATGCCTTCTCCTTCATTAATTTGTTTCAAAAATTTTTATCTTTTTCATCATAAATTATTGGGTATTGTTCTATTAATGATATAAAATATGCGTCTTCCATAATATTATAGAAATAAAAGTTAATATTTATTTCATATGAATGATTGCTGCTGTCAAAATTATGGAAATGGAATGTCAATATTTTTTATGCATTCTTGCCAACCCAAAAATTACCAAAACCTATAATCACCATGACAATTCTTCATACTTTACTTTTCGTGAACGTCAAAAAAATGGATACCTTACCTTACCTAACCTTGCATTATTATAAACTAGGGGTTATTCTGAACATCTTCTGTTGATTCACTTTTCATCACACGTTACGATACGTTTAAAAAAAAATTGTTTTGGTTCCGCAAAAGCAAAAAAGAACAGACCTCGAAACGTGACAATTTCTGTCGATCGTTCAAATCGTGGTGCACCCACTTTTCAATCTTTTTGAACATTCCAATACGTTTCAAACCATCGAAAACCGCATGGGAGTTGACACCCAGTTCTTAAGCCATCCCATGCACGTTCCAGAGATTTAAGCCTTGAAGTGATCGACCTATAGTAATCCAGAAAGAGAATTTGAGGACTCTGGTCCACAACAAACGGTACCTTTGAAGTAGACTCATAAAAAAGGACAAAACTTTTTGAAACAACCTACTAACAACACAAATTCGCTTGCGATGACAATGCGGTTTCTGTTTTGTTAGCCATTTGGCAATCTTACGTTAGAAAGAACTTCCCAACACTAAACTGTTATTTCAACACCTCGACACGTGTTTCGATCACCAAGTGATCATCTTCAAGGGGAAGATCAAACTGATCTTTGATGGAACTAGTCCCCAAAAACAGCGTTGGAAGCTCTTGGCTCCCACCAAGCAACGTCTAAATTGGTAGCAAGTTACCAAAAACGACTCTCCCCAATAGGAAGACTAAACAGATTGTCTATGGTCTGGATTCCTGGCCATACTGAGGCCAATGAGGCTGCTGACTCCCTTGCAAAATAGGGTGCTGCAAACAGCTTCATCGGACCAGAAGCTGTCATTGGCATCGCTTTAGGCTTTGTCAAACAAACATTGAACACCTGGATGGCAAGAAGATTAATGGACTTCTGGCAGAATCTTCCAGGATTGGCTCACTCCAAGGCGTTTATTCACCTTTCGAAGCTTGATACCAAACAGTTGTTGGACAACACTAGGGATGAACTACGATGTCTAACAGGTATTCTCACTGGTCACTGTCATTTGAAACATCCTATGCAGACTCGGACTTTCGAAAGACAGTGTGTGTCGCCTCTGTTTGGAAAATAATGAAACAGCAAAGAACATACACATGTCACTTGGTGATCGAAACACGTGTCGAGGTGTTAAATAACGGTTTGGTGTTGGGAAAAAAACTCCAGAAATATTCATTGAATAATACAAAACACACTTTTTGCTATTCAGTTTCAAATAAAATTCTTTCTTCCTTTCTTTGGAAGATTCCCATATTTTTTGTATAAAGATGGAAAAGTAGAAAGTCAAAACTTTTTTCCCAAAAATTAATAATTCTTGGAAATAGTCCCCTTTCAATTGAATCAATTTCATCTTTTTTCGTATTAACTAATACTTATTTTTCTTTTTCAGGTGCTTTTAACCCTAGTCATTCTTCCAAAAACCATAACGGAACCATAGTACTTCGACCTCATAAACAAAAAAAGAAGAAAAACGTTTTGAAAAATGCTTGTAGGATATTATGAAAGGCCACTTTGATGAATTAGTCGACCTAGTTTTTTTCTGTTTTTATTGTTTGCCATGTATATTGTCAATGATATTGATTAGTAGGTTTATAATATGTCCCTGATGAATATTTTTATCCCTCTAATATATTTAAAATTTGTATATTTTGCCCCTTAGGCCAACTGGTGAAGTGCTAATATACGTGAATGTTATTTCCTAGGTAGGATTTTTGTATGCGTTAAAACCCCTGTATGATATTCTAGAATAAAGTATTTTTGTGTGTTAGTACTAACTTTTGGACATTGTGTGGTATTGTTACGTTTTAAGTTTTTACCTACCAATGTAGTTGATTAATAAAACAAAAAAATATATGAATATTATAATAGTGGTCTGCTAGGTTGAAATGTTCATCTATTTCGAACCTTCCAAAGAGTTTCTTGCTTCCGTTAGAGGTTGAGTCTTGTTTGAAAATCATCAGTGTTATTATTAGATTGACTGGTCCCTCAACTATACTTGTTTCCTTATAACAGTCAGTTAGTTTGGCGCATATTTGACAATACAGTCGATCATCAGCCGTTAAAAATGCCATTTTCAGATGATTTAACAATAAGCTTTGCACGGACTGGTTATTAGTCATATTAGGAAAAGCTATATGAAGTTCCAGAAATTCACATAAGTTTTCGGTACTTCTTGAACATTTACCACAAAGTAAAGGAAAATTTGATGTCAATAAATTCATAAAATCTCGTCAATTTGAATACCTTACTAAATATACTTGTTCCAGCGTCTTCTTGACATTCAAAAGCCAAGATGCCATACCATAAAATCAGATTTTAGCAGGATGGCTCTCCGCTACATTCCAATGTATCTACAAAATATCAGTGATGAATTTAATATTCGACTATAAAACTTTGATGGAACTAGTCCCCAAAAACAGCGTTGGAAGCTCTTGGCTCCTACCAGCAACGTCTAAATTGATAACAAATAGCTAAAAATTACTGTACTCAATAGGAAGACTAAACAGATTGTCTCTGGTATGGATTCCTGGCCATACTGGCCTGGAAGGCAATGAGGCTGCTGACTCCCTTGCAAAGGATAGTGCTGCAAGCAGCTTCATCGGACCAGAACCTGTCATTGGCATCGCTTTAGGCTTTGCCAAACAATGATTAAAGACCTGGATAACAAGAAGACAGAATCTTCCAGGATTGGCTCACTCCAAGGCGTTTATTCACCCTTCGAAGCTTAATACCAAACAGTTGTTGGACTACAGTAGGGATGAACTACGATGTCTAACAGGCCTTCTTGCAGGTCACTATCATTTGAATCATCATATGCAGAGACTCGGGCTGTCGGAAGACAGTGTGCGTCGCCTCTGTTTCGAAAATGATGAAACAGCAGAGCACATACCTTGTGCCTGCCCCGCAGGGGAATAAGGTTTTCAGAGCTCGGCAAAGCCGTACTCTTACCATCTGACCTGAAAGACCACTCACCATGCAAACTTATCTGCTTCGTTAAGAAGCTGGGTTTTCTTTGATTTTACATTAAATAAAAATTATCAATAAAGAAATAATTACGTCTCTTTTCATATAATGCTTGAGTGCGCTGTGAAAAATCCAATGAAAATCTTTTTATATTACACATATTATCTGCATTTTTCCCGTTAAACTACAAAACTTGTGCATTTCACTCGTTATTATAAAAAAGTTTTCCTAAGTATGATATAGCATTTGCGATCAACAAGATGCTGGTTCTGAATACGGCCCTGGCCAATTCTTGGGATTTTCAATATCACGTGCGTAGGGCATGTCAATGTTTACATCCACTCTATCTTGGATTTGAATTTGCTTTTTTTTAGTCCCCAAAAACAGCGTTGAAAGCTCTTGGCTCCCACCAGAAATGTCTAATTTGGTAACAAATAGCCAAAAATTACTGTCCTCAATAGGAAGACTAAACAAATTGTCTCTGGTATGGAGGCAATGAGGCTGCTGACTCCCTTGCAAAGGAGAGTGCTGCAAGCAGCTTCATCGGCATCGCTTTGGGCTTTGCCAAACAATGATTGAACACCTGGATAACAAGATGTACGGACTTCTGGCAGAATCTTCCAGAATTGGCTCACTCCAAGGCGTTTATTCACCCTTCGAAGCTTAATATCAAACAGTTGTTGGACTACAGTAAGGATGAACTACGATGTCTAACAGGCCTTCTTACAGGTCACTATCATTTGAATCATCATATGCAGAGACTCGGGCTGTCGGAAGACAGTGTGCGTCGCCTCTGTTTGGAAAATGATGAAACAGCAGAGCACATACTTTGTGCCTACCCCGCAGGGGAATAAAGTTTTCAGAGCTCGGCAAAGCCGTACTCTTACCATCTGACCTGAAAGACCACTCACCATGCAAACTTATCTGCTTCGTTAAGAAGCTGGGTTTATTTGGTCGACTGTGAATAGGTGTGAGCCACACTAAAACCCTTGCGAGTTGCGGTAGAGGGTCGAATAGGTTAGGTTAGGTCCAAAGGGAACTAACCGTACCCCCCAAACAGCATGCGTGATCCAAGATGAGGCAGCGCCGTTTCGACACTCCATGTTCTCATCAGTGGTGGTGGTTGTTTTTCGACTCTGAATTTTCATCGAGTTAGCTCACTTCGTACCACATTGTCAACTAGACTTATCTTATCTGCCTGTTGGCAGTGATTATATAGCGTGATAAGTCTCTGTAAGGCGATAGGTAAGTCTCTCGAAGCGACGCGACAAAAAGAACGATCGAGAAGCGCAAGTTGTTGAGCGCAACTTTGGCCAACTCATAGTCGGCGGCGGCAGGTATTACTTTGTTTTAGGGAATAATTTACAACAGTATCCAGTAATGGCATGACGATGTAGTCTCATGATGATTTTTATCAGTATCATACTTCATTATTATTTTATAAAAATTACAGTAGCATATAACTTCCTAGTTAAATTTGTTAAAAGCCTACAAACCGTTCTTTTATATTTATATTCTGTGACATCTGTAATGTTCTATGAAATCAAGACATTTGACGTTTGAAATAAAGAGAAGAGTTGGTTTTATACTGAATGCTCAAAGGGAACACAAGTGTTTTAATTCATTTCACGTTTTTTTCTACAAAATCAATCATACATCTTCTGTTGGTCATGTTGTCTAACTTTTGCTAAATTATGGTACAGTTTTGGAATCAGGTCGTCAAGATGATTACGAAAATTGAAAACAGAGTGCTCCATTTGAAAAACTCCTGAGATTGCCCACCCTTCAACCTGAAAGATTGATGTGTGCTGGCGCAGTAGGTAACCCCTCAAACTATACTCACAAAAATTGGGTATGGGAGGTGATCTCAGAAAGTATTCGAATAAACATTGAAAATACTGATGGAATTATTACCAGTATGAGATTTTTCAAATTAGGGATTCGAAATTGATACTCTTGTAAATTGATACGAAACTGCCAACTTTAATAGTATTTAGATATGAAAAAAGGGTCACCAGATGTGTCAGGGAGCATTGTTCTTTTCAAAAACGAATAAAGTCGCCGAAGGAACGTCACCCTGAAATTAAAAAATCAAATTCTTTCAGGAATTTTTGATTATATTTTTTATTCAGGTCATAATCAATGTATGTATCACTAACTAATTTCATATGCTGTGTTTATCAACCACCATGTGATACACAATATGGAGCACTATTCTCTTCACTTGCAAACACCATTGACTTTCTGCAAATCAACCATCCCAGATCCGAAATTTCCATATTCGGTGACTTCAATGTCCACAATATCGAATGTCACAAATTTTCAAATATCAACGACGAACAAGGTCGCGAAGCTCAGGCTTTTGCAATAAGCAGCGGACTTACTCAGATTGATGAGCCAACCAGGATGCCTGACTGTGATGGAGAATATGCTAGTCTTCTGGATCTATACCCAACAACCAATCCATAGATTTACACAGTCACCGTAAGGTCTCCATTGGGATCTTCTGACCACACGCTCATTTCAGTGCTGAGTGAATTACCAATAAATGTTGGGGAACAATCTGAGTCACGCAATGTTTGACATTAAAGATCAGCTGAGTGGGAGGATCTTCAAGACCATTTCCGAAATTCCCCCAGGCTAGATGTTTGTTTCAGCTCTAATGATCCATCAACTTGTGCTTTTGAAGTCATTCTATCATCCATGGACGCATATATTCCTTTTTCATGAAACGAACTTCTAACGGCAAACCATGGTTCAACAAAATTTGCGAGCAAGCTGTCGCCTCCAAAAAAAATACCATTGCCGAAAAGTGAACTAGGTTTGTTAATGTTCGCAACAGCTGCAAACTTGGAATAAATGAAAGCAAAGATTCACAATCATAGAATTAAGGATAAACTGTTCAACTCAGTACACCTCGAACTTCACTGTTCAAGAACTCTTTCATTTGGAGAACTCCGTTTATGTGGAATAAACTCCCCGAGAACGTTTTTCCAAATGGATTTGATTCCGAGACAACTATATTGAAGAAATATTACGAGCAAGGCAAGGGTTGCTTTATTTCTTCGTATTTTTGAGATGCAGGGTTGGTATTTGCAAGAAATGAGAACGCTTCATACTGAAGAGTGGTATATTCTCAACTCCCTAAATATTTTACAGCATTCAACAATTCATTCGAATTCGGGCATTGCATTTCAGCATTCAGTTTCTCTTCAACACGACATATCGCATATTGAAGATCACTCATATCGCGGACTACCGCAGATGGTTCGGGGTCCTCTGGCTCCCTGGCCGGGCTGTCTTCTCGAGGAGTCCAGATGGAGCCTCCCAGATTGGACTGCACCGCTCCTAAGATATCGGTCTCCAATTTATCGCCGATCATGATCACCCTTCGGGGAGCAACCCAAAGTCTTCGGCAGGCATCGAGGAAAATGTTCGGATCCGGTTTTTCCCAAGGATAGTCTCCGGATACGATGATCAGGTCGAAGAGGAGAGCGAGATTGAGTTTATTCACCTTTTCCCATTGTGCTCGAGAAGTTCCGTTGGTGATCAGCGCCAAGTTGTAAACCTTTCGGAGCTCCACGAGCATATCTCTGACATCTGGATCCACGACCAAAATTTTGTATCGCAGTTCGATCCATTCCTTATACACCGCCTCTGAAACAATTTCAAATAATTTGTATATTTGTTGGGATAAAACATAGGGAAGGAGTTGACATTGCGCGGACTCGAAATATCTTGCTGCTGTTCCCGGTGGGTTCGACCTCCCGAAGTAGACTCTGCCTGTTGGTATTGCTTATATATCTAGATGGAAGGCTTGGGAAGCCGATACAGTTATTCTCGAAACCGCCCTAGAAGGATCGAGAATACAAATGACGAGCGCGACCTTGGCCAAGTCACAGTCAATCAGTGAAGGCCAGCGGCGGTCAGCGTTATTGGTCAGGGATATTTTGCAACTGCAACTGCAACTGCAACTGCATTTATGAAGAAATAAGGCAGAACACTGGGACTGATCATACAAGAAGACTATCTCATTGTTTGAGGGTGTGCTTTCCACGTGTTGATTATTTTTAAATGATTTCAACACGTGTCACTGGAGGTGTGTCACTAGAAAACGAATTGATAAATCAGCCTATCCAAAAGTTTACCCCATCTGTGCGCAGGTTAATCCAAAAGTCACGGTTGGAAATTTACCTTTTGCTCACAAAAAACAATTTAAAAGAAGAATGTTTGATGTTTTGAATAAAAACATGACGGCATCAGAAATATTTGGCACTCTCCTTGAATTTATTTAAACAATGCTGATTTTTTCAAGTTTAAATCATTTCAAGTATTTGAGAACACTCTTAAAAAATACACAGCACCGGATAGTTAAAAAAAAGTGTCAGTGGTTAGTTTCATGATTCCTCTTCATTTTGCAGACCTCCTCTCAAGGCCACCACCAAATGCAGAACCGTGCCGCCTTTTAGCTTGTAGCTGTTCACTGTCTTGTCGTCTTTCAACTGCTTTCCCTGATATATGAGTCTCTGCTGTTCGGGTGGGATGCCTTCTTTTTCCTCCAATTTTTCCTTGATTATCAAAATTCTGTCAGACGGTTCTACATCAATCATACGTTCATCTCCGGTTAACGTCACCACCTTCACTAACATTGAATGGGAAGGAAAACTGGAATTTCGAATTTTGTCTGAACTGAAGTGATACTATGAAAATGTCATAATGATGGCGATGAACTGTGTGACGGGAAAATGTCAAAATTGGCATTGTGGAATTTGAAAGGTGTGACGGTATGATCGGTTCTTTTCGCCGATATTCAGTATTTCTGTGTTCAGCTATACAGTATTGTCTAAGCTCTGAGTATCTACACTGGCTTATGTAATTTGAGGTTTCAGTTTAACGGAAAACCAAGATTTATGAACTTAAATCTATTTTCTTTTCAATATGTATAGTAAACTTCTTTATTCTTGATCTACTATTTGTAAGAGATGATTATACGTATTGATAAGTGAAGCATCAAGTCAGCAATTATCTCTGAACTACTAGTGGAATGATGGAAATTCTAATTTTTGTTCCGGGATTCGACAAATTTATTTATACAAGCAGGAGAATCCTGGGCAACCGATTTCGCGTCGCGAATTTTGTGTCGTGACTTGGGACTGCACCCGTACCAAATCTAACTGGCCCAGGAATTTGGGAAGAAACCAATCCACGTGAGATCCAAGAGCGTCCAATGCATCCCAAAAAGTCACTGTTTGGTGTGGATCTTGGGCTGGCGACGTCATCGGTTCAAATTTCTTGAGAACGAGGTTGGTCAGGCCATCACTGTCAACGGCGAGCACTATATGTCGATGATTACTAACTTTTCTGGCCTGAATTAGATGATCTGGACACCAATATCATGTGGTTTATCGATACATGCCTCACAGTTCATGCCACATTGGATATCCTGCACGAGAGATTTGAGGGCATGATCATCTCACGTGGAGGTGATATGAATTGGCCACCAATATCGTTAGATTTGACTCCACTAAACTTTTTTTTGTCGCAGATGTATGCGAAAAAGCTACTACCCATAACGTCAAAAACTGACAGAATTCGAAACTCGAGTAATAAAAAATAAGTAGAGTTGCCCTCCGTATATGAATACAACAGATTTGTAGACAACCAGGATTTCCATCTCTCTCACAGTAAAATGACTGAGGGACTGAGGGGACTGAGGGAATTGTTTACATAATCCTCTGGACTGAACCATGGGGGGTGCGGAAAATATGTTACGAAAATTCTAATGACTATCAGCTATTAATTCAATCGAAAATTCTGGGTTACGCCCATGCTCCATGAGAAATGTTACATCAACATGCAAGGATTGCGAAAATCCACAAACAACGCAGGTTTTCACCAACTTCAAAATTATTTTTTGCACTACAAATTAATTATATCGGTCAATAAGCACTCAATCAGCAAAATAACTTCCAAAAACGACGAAATACCGGTATTATCTATTTCTGTTAGTTGGAGGACTGTCGTAAATATAAACGAAGTAATTTGGCTTTAGAAACAAGGACAGAAAGGCATCTTGTTTATATCATTACTCTGAGAATTCTAAACAATCGTAACTGTCAATTGTTGAAAATAGGTTTCCGTGCTTCGATTGGTCTGTGAGGAAAATTTGCAACAGATGGAACATGAACATCTCTTTCTTGCGTTTGCTGAGCGGTATTTATAAATGAATTATTTTTTTGTCAAATTTATTTTAAACTAGATTGTTTTTAATATACATACGCTGCTGTCTGTCGCTGTAGGAATGTCATATTTCATTGAATTTTGGGTTTTTTATACTTCCACCAAATATCGGGCAATTCTAGCCCAAATTATCCAATGTGTCGTTCAGTTACGCGAGATTTGAAAGATTTGATGGCATATGCAGATATTTTTATTTATGTCCCATAGAATAATACGGAGTAACAATTATATGTAATATATCTATTTATCCAAATAATCAGTATATGGACCCGTGTTTCGCTTGAAAAGGTAGTACCAGATATATAAAATCATTATGTAGACCCAAGTTGCATCCATCTTCGATTCAACGCGGTGTCATTTTCTCTCAACCACTACGTAGAGCTTTAACTAAATCCAAAGAGCAGCCGTTTTTCAATCTATAGTAGCTAAGAGTTTTGTTGTTATTTTTCAGAAACTTTCCTCGGTACGACAATCTCTGTTGACTGGCTGGGTAGTTTTCGAATTCTGTTTCAACTTTTTTCTTCAAGTCCGATAGTGTATCAGTTTCTTCCACTTGTATGACTTTTTCTTCTCCATCTAGAGGTTTCACTTTGAGCCTCATTTAGGATGAATAATGGAAATACTGGAATTTTGGATGAGAAATGATGATTTAGGTATACCTACTGTCAATTTGACAAATTGGTTCGAGAAATTTGACGTGACATTCTAGTATGGTGGCTCGTAAAATCAATAAAAAATCAACCAACAATCTGGAAAGTTCACTTACTTAAAATAGCATTGGTAACTGTCCATTTGTGTCAGTAGGTAAAGTGTAGTACAACTTGTTCCGGTTTCGATATCTGAAACCTACTTGCATTTAATGGGGTCGTTTGGTACTATGTCAACAACACTTCCAGATGTGGAGTTCCATTTTTAAGATTCTGATCGTATCGTCTCTTATATAAACATGCAGTTGTCTTCTTTTTGAAGAAGGTAATAAGTACTTCCGTAAACCAACTGTCAAGGTAATATTATTGGCTGTAAAGAAGACTTGCAATCATACCACCAGCAGAGATTATCAGAGCACGCAAGGCAATTCACGAACTTAGTCCGGCCGTACACGGACCACATATTTGCAGTTGAGGCAACCACAACATTGTGGCCACGTTGACTGCACTTCGCGGTTGACCTAACCACATTTTTGTGGTAGACTTGCGGCCATATAAACCGCACTTGCAGTTGAGGCAACTGACATCAAAAATTGAATGCTGTGAGACCAATATGAGAAAAAGTACACGACGGTGTAAGCTATTGGGTACGACTACAAGTTTGTGGTTACTTTACGGCAGATGCCGCGATGACATCTCGGCTGAGATCAGCAGCAAGTTGACTGCAGACGCCCGTTTTGACTTTTGTGAACGCCCGTGTACGTGTAGTACAGTATTTCTTATGGGCGGCTTGAGTTCGCTGGAATGCGACTGCAATTGTGTGGTCAATCCGACCACAAAATGTGGCTCGTGTACGGATATTGTACGGCAGATGCCGCCATGACATCTCGGCGGAGATCAGCAGCCAGTTGACTGCAGACGCCCGTTTTGACTTTTGTGAACGCCCGTGTACGTGTAGTACAGTATTTCTTATGGGCGGCTTGAGTTCGCTGGAACGCGACTGCAATTGTGTGGTCGATCCGACCGCAAAATGTGGCTCGTGTACGTCTAAGAGACGTAAATACAAGTTTGAAGCTAAGATCAAGTTGGCCAGAATGTCATCGTAATTTCATCCAGGTTTGGAGACCAGCTCCCCTACCCTTTTGGCTGATTGTTGGTCTTGAGAGGAACCAATGGGTTCATGACTGAATTGGTGACGGCATGAAGTCCTTTGACATCAGTGCCGCCCTTCACGGGAATAGATCAAGTTGGCGACACAAAACGCGTATTTTATCCAATGTGAACAAGATTCATAGATTCCCTGGTTTTTCGCTTTTGTTTGGTCAAAAAACTCTCGATGCGAGAAATGACATCAACCCTACTTTGTGAACATATTAATAGATGGTGCAAGAATCGAAGTCTGTCGTGCGTATTTTGCTCAGATCGTTAATTTATTGACCATTATGTTAAAATCCCAAATATAACATATAACCAACATTAAAGTAACAACTTGACATTGTCATTCGAGTTGTAACTCCTATGAATAGAATTCTGAAATTGAATGGATCTTTTCGATATTTTGTCACCAAGAGTAGTGTATAATCAGTTTTTGACAAAATATTTTACATGGTGAATGTGTCCAAGTGATGACACCATACATTTTGAGTGTGAACTAAAACATCAAACAGTGGCCACAAAACGTTAATGATGAGGGTAGCAAAAAAACACCGAGCCAAACAACCCGAGCATAAAATGAAATCAGAATTTATTATTAATGCTAAGAAAATTTAAGAACGATTATCTGTATAAACCCATGTCATAGTATGAATCAAACACATATCTCTCTTCAAAATAGCTAATAGACCAAACACCTTTCCTAAAATCTCATAATATACATCAAGAAGTAAATACAAACACTAGTCACTTAAATATTACAGAAAATCACAAATTAAAATTGTTGGTCCCTAATCAAAATAATTACAAGTACAAGTTGATGAATTTCCAGCACCCTTCATCCTCTCCAGACATTCCCTGATCAATTCAGGATCTGTATATTCATCCTCATATAAAAACTGAAGCCCGCTCTCTCCTTGAGAAGTCTCCGCCTCTGCTTTCTTATTTGATTCCACTTTCAACTTGGTAGTTTTCTGCAGCAAATCAAAATATGGGCCGTGATCTAGAATACTCTCCACTTTCGTCAATTCCTCCTCTTGAAATTGATGTTCGTCATCCTCCACGGAGGAACGGCTTGAACTTGAGGCCTCCCCATCTAAACTTGATGCACCTAAAGTTTGCACATCACTGGGATACAGGGTGCTTCCTAAGCCGACTCTTCTAACAGCTTCATCCATTTTTTTCAAATATTCGTCTAACTCATTCTGCTCTATGTTGTTCTGGAAAGAATATGGTGGGGCAATAGGAGGTTGAACTGGAGGTCTGAACTTGTAAGGACCCTCGCCTGGCAAATTCAGAGGATACGTTGTATCAGAGTCATAAGCGCTGACATCTCCACAAACAACAAATGGTATAATGACCCTATTGATTCCTGTGAGGGAGTTGAAATCCTTGTTAGAAACATCCAAATAAGGGGTCATGAGTTTGGGATCAAATCCATCAGGTGGCGAGTAGTTCTGACACACAACGAAAGCCTCAATACTTGAATTTCTCGAACTGCTTGGCTTAGCGACATGTACTTCTTTGAACAATGCTAATAGCTGATTGGTGAGTAAATCATTGTCTTTGCCTCGAAATATTTTGGCAACGAATGTACCGCCGGGTTTCAAAACATTACAACAAATATGCAACGCTCCTAGGAGTAGCTGGGCTTGAATATAAATATCCATGCTGTGCAAACCAGTGACATCGGGGGCCCCGTCGCACACAACTAAATCAGCCTTGTCACCTTCGAAATGACTTATTATCTCTTGGGCTGTTGAATATTTGGTAATATCACCCTGGATTTGAATAACACCTGGCAGTGGAGACATGGGCTGTAAATCTACTGCCACCAACTTCACATTCTCATTTTTATGCGTTTCACACTCCTCTGATTTTTCATTTTTTTGCTGAGACAGCTCCATTTCATTATAGAACAGGCAGCATGTTTCTCTTATAACGGTGGTTTCTCCTAGGTATAGCTTTCTTGATAGTACTTGACTCCATGAACCGGGTGCTGCACACAGATCCACAGCTTTGGTAACTCCTTCGAAAATATTGAATTTTTCATCGATTTGTAAAAGTTTAAAGGCACTCCTGGCTCGCCACCCTTGTTCCTTTGCTTTTCTGTAATATATATCACGTTTGTCCCTCGATACCCTACCCATTTTGGAAAATTCAACTCGATTCCTTAACCACTTTAAACAAAAAACAGGTCAGAAATCGAAATCAAGAAGAAATTTGGGTCTTTTTCTTTTGGTGAATAAAATAAACCAAAGTTACTAATGTCTAGAAACAAACATGGAATTATACGTTTTGTGTGTGAACTTATTGACAGTTCTGTCACAGAACACCCTGTTCTGTAACCCGATTTCTTTCTCAAGGTTTTTTAATACTAGGATAATTAAATTTCATGAGTAAAATTTCAATTTTGTTACAGGTAGGTAGTCTGTGTTTGCCACAGTAATAAAAATGTATTATTATAGTGCCTATATATTAATATCATCATGCCCTATATCCAAAACAGATATTAAAATTTTGACATACAGAATATTCCTCACAAAAAAATATGATCCATGCTTTTAACATATTCTCAAAAACACATGTTTTCCAATGGAAACTTGAAAAATCAAATAAGCTCGCCAGCACAACAGATCTTTCATAGTACTTTTTTTCTGAATTGGTAGCTCTGTTTATTTGTCTTCAGTTTCAGTGGTCATGTTAATTGTTCATTTCGATGACTCAACTGAATTACTGAATTCATGTCTAGCAATATTGATTTCTAATGTGGAACATATGGTTTGATTTTCGCAAACGTAAAACACAATGAACCACAAAGATTTGTAAAAGACGACATAACTTTATTTTTGTTTTACCGTTTGATTCACTTCTAATGTTTCCAATGGACGTCGTATCTATATGATGAATTTATTTATTCAATTGTATTTCGTGCTACGAATAACGCGTTAAAAGGTATTAACAGTTTGTGTTAAAAAAAAATCTGTTTTTCCGTTAATCAGTTGTCGCCCCCATACGAACGACAACTCTCAGAAGTTGAGAAACTGGTGCGAGTTAAGGACTAACGAGGTCTTACCTTTTAACGTGTGATTCCTAACACGATTCAAATAAATGAACAATGTGAAAGCTTTTTCTCCAGTTTTTTTGGCCGTGGTCTGCATGTTTTTATGTCTGACGTTTAGTCACTACTGCGGTGAACATTATCAAAGGCGATGTGGTAACGGTCGCAGTGACCGATTTGGTGCTCAAGTTGTTGTTCCCGTTGTCCCGAACGCATTAACTACGATGCTGGTATCTGGTAATTGACTCAGGTTTTATATTAATATTAGTGGGCATGGCTTGGTTTCTTTCAATTGTTTGTGTACCTTCAAGGACAAGTAGAAAGATTTTATAGCTTTCACACAGTTATCTCCGGCCGTAATATTCTTTGAAATAAACAATATCAGCGCTCTAATCGCCGTAAGAAACAAAACAAATAACTACGAACTTACCTGATAGATGTTTAAAATTTTCGCCAAGAGCTTCTGCCCATAAGGATTGTCTCCATGTATCCAGATCCATTGAAAGATTTTCAGGACATTCTCTGAACTTATGTAGATAACCAAAACATACAATTTTTCCCTCTTCCTCTGGGATCCGATATTTATGAAAAAGAATATTGGCGAGCTAAAAAAAATTACAGTATATAATAAAATTACGGTAATAAGAAACTTGAATATTGAAAATTGGTTATAGCTTTTTCATATGCCACCTGAAGAAGACGACCTACAATGCCTAAGGTATCGAAAACATTTGTATAACGTGTCAGGTTCTGAACGATAAAATTGTTTATCACTTGTAGTGAATTGGGAACTTATTGTAGACTATCCACATTTCAAACTAGCGCTCCCATACACTGTCAATAATAAAGTATATTGTTTAGAATGTGATAATAAATACAACCATTTTCATTGCAAAATATCATAGGGCGAAACTGTAGTTGAAACATATATAAATGAGATTATTCATACATTTTCCAAGAGAGAGCTATAAAAAATATGAAGGTCTAACGTAAAATAATGGACAACAATATTTCTCCGTGCAAGAACATCGGTACGTGAGCTTTGTCTATCGAGGGTTACAATTAATTGGACCAATTAGAAACTTATATTCATCTAAAAGTAAGCTAGGAACAGTTTTCCATTGGTCAAAAAAATATAGCGCGTGATAAAAAGAGAACTCTGTGAAATCTCCTTGAAGATGATTATATTTGACAGTACCGTTCTCGAGATAAGTTGATACAATCGCATCCAAAAACTACAATTTGGTACTTTCGTTATCATTGAGATTTTGTCTTGGCTAATGAACTCCAATGGACGTACAATATCAGTATTCAATGTGAGTATCAACAGAATTTGGTAGTTTGCAGTCGCTGACAACCAGTCGGCCGGATCAAATAGAAGTCGGGATGTACACCAAAATTGAATAAAATTAAGCAGCCGACTGGTTTGTCAGCGATTGCTTCTCAGTTCTGAGGGTAATGTAATTACATTAAATACTGCCATTGCTCTCTGGTGGTCAGGGTGAGTACTAAAAATTTTAGGTGACACAAAATGCCACTTCTGAGCAGTGCTGCCGTTAAGGTACTATTGTACCGCATTCGGTACTATTCCATGATTTTGATACGAAGATACTACCAGGATCAATATGTAGACTATTCGGTACTATTTACTATAATCCCAATTTTTTACATTTTCACGTTGACTCCCATCGAGTACAGTAAAAAATAACAACAATATGTGTGGCAACAATGCAATTCCGTGTTTCAAGTTCCAGAACAGCAAATACCGTACTTGTGTCAAAATTGCGAGCTATCATCATAACTCTGCATTATTTTATCCTGTGTTCTGTATTGTGCCTGTGAACTGTGGTTCTGTCATCTGTCAGTCAGTCAGCAGAACAGCATTTTCAACTTCTAACCTCACACCTCACCTTGAGAAATTGGTTTTATTGTTTTGTCAAAATAAATAGGAATATGGACAGGTAAAAATAAATTCCCGAATCTAGCTATTTGAAAACGTCTTTAGTATTGTTCATTCTATTGTGACAGAAACCTAATTAAAACAAAACACATTTGCAATCGTGAAAGAGCAATTTAAAGAAGGAAAAAGACACCTTTTCATCAAATGTTCTGATTATGATCTTTCTCTTAAGGAACATTTCTTAGTTTCCAGCAAATTTTTTACTCCATATATTTTTCGAATTTAAATGGATAACATTATTACACGTTTGGCATTACTGGCATTTGGTCTGAAATGACTTATGCGCAGGTGCCATGCCCAGTCTTGCGCAGTACATTTTGGGTACTATTTTTTTGTAAATTTCGGTACTTTTTGAATTGACCATGCGGCAGCACTGCTTCTGAGCTTCTATGGGCTTTGTATTCTTTGGATAGGATATACCAATAAGACCAAAGGTCTCGTATCTTCAACTTTTGTAAATTTCGCGGTTTATGATTTACCACAATTTTCAGGTATGATATATCAACGGTTCCAATTATATTATAATTTAATCAGACTTATTCTTCAGTGTTTCTAAAGACTGAAAATTATTATTAGAATCAAATACGTAGAATCTTTGTACATTATACAATGGTAGAATGTTCGGATACTGCAAAAAACAATATTTCCACATACAAATTGTCATCATCAGGAGGCAACATTTTCACTCTTTTCTAATGACATAGTCAATTATTAGTAACGTAATGATCATGAAATGGAAATGTGTTAGTTTTTGAAAAAAATAAAACCATTATCTGGCGGCGGGAAATTCATTGAGAGTATTGATTTCACCTGTTGCATGGGGGAAAAGTAATTTTGTTACCTTAGTTCTATGCCAAAGAAGTTTAATCTCTATCCACTGATGAGATTGTACTAGTCAAGTAGATAATTTTGTATCCCTTCTCCTACATAAATCGTTAAAACCAGCATTGAATGATATATTATTGTCCAATATGAACAACACATTTTTTTAAATCATGCTCTTGCTTCACTACAAAGTAACGAGTATAGAATTTACTGTTTTGCTAAAATAAGTGTATTGTTCGTATGCAGTCCTAATTATCAAGACAAGGAATTCAGCTAATTTCAGTAATAATAATATAACTTCATATCATTACCTGCAAGGATTTAAAAAAATCCAGATGTGAAAAAATCAATAAGAACCTGGCAGAAATTTACTTACAAATAAATAAATTCCCAACCGTTGTTTACTTCGTTTCAAGTTATCTTCTAAAAATAACATCAATGTGTGGGTGTTCACAAGATTTATTTTTGGAGATTATTGAGAAACTACCAGACAGCTTGATATTTGATACATGATCCAAATTAAACAAGAGAAAGTAACAAATACCTTTATTTAAAACTATCTCCTAACCAATATAAGCTTGTATAAAAATCAGTATGAAACCTTCAATCCATATTGAAACAAATGCCTTTACAAGTCTTTCAAATCTCGGTGCATGAAAAAACATGAAAAAAAAAATGGCTGTACATTTTTCCTTAAAAGAAGGTTACAGTCGAGCATGAATTGGATAATTGTTGAAAACCTAATCACCAAACAATTTTTTGCCCAATTCCATCAGTCTGTGATTTCTACACACCCTCAAAGCTTCTGCCTTCTTCAAAACATCTATCACACTCTCGTTTGCGTCGACTAAGTGGCATAAGAAATCTTCAAAAGCTGATTTTATATTTGGCGGCAAAGTACCAATCTTGACTTTTTTCAGCAGCTGGACAATACCCTCAGCCCATCCACTTTCAATGGCAAATTCAGAAATCCAAGGTATCTGCGAGATGACGGAAGCCAGCGTTTGCATTCCAAGGAACCAGAGCTCCATGATTTCCATCCAGTGCTCCTTGTATGACATCGCCACAACCAAAGCAGTGGGATCGTTTGACTCGTCGATGATGTAGGCATCCCACAAGAAACGTATCGTTGCTTGGATGTAGCGGCAAATGGAGAAGTCATTCTTCTTCACTTTCTTTGACAACTGTTTTAAGAGGAGTAAACCAAGAATGGCTAAGTTTCCGTGTAGCACTAGATTTTCAGGTATGTCTTTCAGTTCGGGTAAGTTCTCGAAAATAAACTTGAGTAGATTGTTGAACACCTCTGATTCCTCGACGTACTTGGGTTCTAACACTGTGAGATTCATCAATACATTGCAAGTACTAATCATTGCTGTTCTGGAGTCTTTCATCTCCTCTAGTTTTTCAGGAGTGAGCTCTGGCTTGGGCTGATTGAGCACCTTCAGACGTTCAGACCTAGGGACAGGAGGTCTCTTATAGTGCACTATTGTCCAGTGAAACTCGAGCACATCCAACAGAACCTTATCTTCATGGCTTTTCAACATGATTGCCCTAGCTTCATCCTCGACAGCTAAATGGCACATCGCTGGTAACATTACTCGGAGAACGTTGATGTTGCTGAGTGGGTCTTCTTCTTGCGGGGTCCCTGCTTTTTCTGCAATTCTCCTTGCTCGGTCAGCATAAAATGTTTCGTTTGCAAGCTCCAACATGAAAGGCAGAAGCTGGTACACCTGTGTGCGCATGGCTGTGGTTTCTTGAGCAAGCCATGCCACCAGCACCCTTATACTCGCACAAATAAATAATTTATCCTCACCAGAAGGTTTGTTCTTTTCTTTAGAAACCTTCAATAGCAAGTTCACAATAGCAGTAAAGGCTCCTTTGAGGCCTGTGTACAGAGTTTGCTTCTCTTTCTGATCCAAGTCAATTTGATCAGTTGCAATGAAGGCTACAGAGAGTTCCAGAATCAAATAGCACGCACTGATTAGACTCTGTTGGGGAGCTAGTGCTTTCAGGCCTTTTCCGTCCAGCTGCATGCGAATCTCAATAGCAGCTAGTTGAATAAGCACCAGAAATATCTGCTTTCCTTTTTCTTCATCGGAAAATATCCAATCAATGCCCAGCAGATCCAACATGCTAGACGTGAGGATGAGAGCAGGGTTCCGTTGAGCAGCTCCAATTTTACTCTGCAATATATCGCAGAGGCCTTTGTACACACTCTGGGGCCACGTTTCACTAGCCGCAGATTCTGCCAAGTCTTTTCTTGATGGGCAGTTATACACCAGGGCATTGAGAACCTCGCAAATTTCAAACTTACGTTTGTCCTGATCAGTTTCAAAGTCCACAGCTATTTTGTTCATTAGAGCATGATATGCTTTGGGATCCTTGTTCTTCCAGGAGGCGCCTTGCTTGGCCACTAGGACAGCCATGATATTCAGCGCTTCGTCCGATTGGAAGCTTCCCTGGGAGTATATTTCACTTAGTTTGTCAATAGCATTGGAGTTGATTAGGGCTTGCTGTCCTGGCGGATAAGCAGCTATGCCTCTGAGACAGTTGTAGGCCTCTCCGATTGCCATGAGGCTGTCGTCGTTTTCTGAATCATCAGCTGACTTTACGATGTCAAGGAATACAGGTACAAACTCTAGCATCTCTTTCTTGGTGGCCAATTCTTCCTCGTTGCAGAAAACTGTGATGATGGACAGTGCCACCGATTTATAGATCGAAGGGGGGCAGTCGACAGGAACGTCGGTGGTTTGCAGAAGCCTTCGCAGAAAATCGAAGCCGATAGCTTCGAATATGGCCTTTTTCGCATTAGGAGTGGCATGCTTTCCTTTAACTAATTTTGTTACCATAAACAAAGCAGCGAACTTTTCCGTGTCGCTGTAAGAATTCTTCAAAATGTTACAGCACTTTTTCACTGCGTCAGAAACTTCCCCCATGGTGAAAGAACCGGCAATACGACCCTGGCCACTGATTCTGTTTTTCTTGTGAGTTCGTGTATGATCATTGAGAGACTGAGGCGCGCCGCGTGCATTCGTCTCGAAAGATATTTTTGGTATCGGGCGCTGCGAGTTTCTAAATACGGTAATTTCTCAGACTCGGTATCGACTTACTTATTTTTAGATTTTTCTCAGTCATTGAAACTGATGTTTTACTCCTTTGCGCTGTAAACATACAACATCGCAATATAATTTCTCTGACAAATGTCATGTCAAATGACATGACGTATGACAGATGATCGCTTGAGAAGATAACTGGAAATCTAAATTATGTGCGCGATTGCCAGATGCTTTTCAATTTTCAAACATGTTAATGATTTAAATCGCAATTCGTAAGTGACAATTTATTTAGTACAGTATCATATAAATCATGGAAATTGAAATACTCATTCCTAGAAACAAGGAAACTAGAGAAACTCCAACACAAAGGATATTACCTGATGTAACCCAAATACAGGCAAATTTAAAGAGACATCCGGATACAACCTGTTTGAAATCAAGACGACGTACATCCAGATACAAAGGATTGGAAACGTTATTCAGTAAAAGTAGGCACTCTTTGACAGAGCTCATTAAATTCTAATGGAAAAAGATTTTCGTCACTCTGACTTATACTCTAAAAAGTATAATTATGTATGTATGATCCGTTCGTCTAAACGTTATACTGTTATTACCGTCTTATACCTATAAGGCATACACAGTTACGGTACTTGTAAATTTTGAACTAGTGAAATGTTCTTATCTTTTTTATGTGAGAAAGTATGAAATATTGATAATAGTATGCAGTTTCCAAAATATAACTTTTTTGTCTTCAAGTTTTCCAATATTTAAAAAATGTATAACATCAATGTATTCAGTCATGTATTTCTATCTTGTTATCATCATTATAAAAGAATCATAAAAAATAACACGCGTAACCAAGAATTGACAGAAATATTATTTACGTCATCAGCCGCTACACTCTGTTCACTACAAAAGCGTCATAATGCCAGTGTAGAAAAAATAAAGCAAAATTACCCAACTTAAGCTGACCTTGTTCACATATTTCAATATTGTGAATTCAAAGTAGGAATTTCTGCGTTAAATTTTGGAAATATCAATGAAGGAATTAGTATGGTCCTTCTACGTTCTCGTACAGTTCAACTGATGAGTTGTGTGCATTAACACTTTTGAATCTGCCACCTGACAGATCAGAAAAGTGGCAAATTGACGGATTCAAAGTGTCAATTGACAGATTTGAAGTGTCAATTGACAGATTTGAAGTGTCAATTGACGGATTTGAAAAGTGTCAATTGACGATTTGAAAAGTGTCAATTCACAATTTTTATTCCTACTACGCCCTAAATGCTTGAAATATGTCAATTGACAGATGTTTATGCTTTTTTGCACTGGCATCATTTCGCCGTCTTTAGTCACTCCTCTCTACCGCTAATGTCAAGGGATATTCACGTGAACACGGCAACATCGCTTTTCTGTCAGGTGTGCACGTGTATATAGGAATTAGAAATTAAGAATCAACATCAACAGCTGATCGCCAGATGCGCGTGATGTTGAATGTTCATTCGTAATCTACAATTCCACTATGTTCAAAATGACGTGAGAGATCGTTTTCAAATGTCTCAAAACTTCGGTCTGTTATATAACAATAAAAGAAAAAGCCTACCTCGTGCATGGTTTGACAGTCCGCTTTCCTAGTGGGGATGATCGTGTTATCCATGTCGAAAAATATAGCGTTCGGGCGCATTTTTGTGCGTTTATTACTTTCGAAACTAACTGAACACGTGCACTGAATCAGATTGGTATGTGAGTTCACAGTCCACAGTCCAAGTTACTAATATTGGATTGAAACAATAAGTTTTAGTGTTCATCCCTTCCCTTGGTGAATTCAGTTAAGATGATGGTCAATATTTGACCGAGTCATCGCCTAATCTGTGGCCTAATTACTACCTACTACAGAATTTTTCCGCTACCTGGCTTATATCTTATATTGTTGTTTATTAAGGTTCATTCAAGGACTAATGTGTTATTGTGTTATCTCTAGGCTCCCCAAATAATGAAAACAAAAGTATATGTATGTAACCACTTTTGGTAGTCCACAATTGAAAAACACTAAAAGCAAACATTTAGGATATTTCGCTACAGTAAGGATGAAAATAAAATGATTCCAATATGTACATTTGAAGTAGTCCAGGTAAAATAAACAAATAATACTTAGCCCAAACTAAATGAACATGAAATGTAGAAATTGCATTTGAAATTCCCAGTTTCGAAGGAATTGTGGAAAGAGTCGTGCCCGTTTTGGCAGCTGCAGAAAGATCAGCTTTCATCACTACATATTACCTATGTAGTGTCGACTAGCAAATTATAACACACTCATTGATCTGAATTGGTCAATAACTCAAAATATAATCAAACAAATTATTAAATTATCATCATATTGCTAACTGATTATAATTATTACTCAAATAAATTTTCTTCTTTGTTGAATTGAAACTAATATTGTAAAAATCATAGTGTTAAGTTCACTTTTACTTTTATTTTTACTTTTATCTTTATTTTTCATGTTTATGGCTTGTAAATTAATATAAATTATTTGTAATATTATACATATTTGTATATTTATCCATGTAATTAGACCAGTAGGTCTGTTTGGATACAAATAAATGAATACATAAATAAATAATAAATTAAAAGCCCTTGTATGTCTGTCTGAACTAAGGGAACGGAGTGAATCAAGAAGAAAGATTATGTGTATACATTATTGATATCTTTTGTGAATTGGTTGATTTATTGTATATGTAATCTGTGATATTATATTATTACAAAGCCTCGCAATTGAAATAAAAATGTTTTTCTTGTTCCGCTTCACCTCTACAAAAGTTTGAAATGAATTTTTTAATGCAATTTTAAGGATGTGCTCCGATTCATCTCGGTTGAAATTCCCAAGCGCAAAAAAATGTCATTACAGGTAATGTATTACATACCTAAATAGTGAGGTCGTGTCCCACATAGGTTGTTACATTTTATTTGGTATATCGGGAAAAATACGAAATTTTGATCCATTTCACACCGTTTGACGGTGTATGAAAACAAAAATGTCTCTGTTATGATAAAATTTAGTGAAGTAATTTCTTTTTATTTTCTCTATTTCCGTGCTTCACAAGGAAATGAGTACAATTTCATGCACCAACCGGTACGTCAAATCCCATGTATTTCTTATAGGATTTATTTCACGCACGCTTTCTATAAGATCCTGTGGAATTTTATATAATTTAGAAGTAGGTAAGTAGTTTGCTGTGCTCCGATTTTTTATTTTGAACATGACAGTCATATGTTAATATATTGGTCAGTAAATTCTGATTCAGAAATTGAAATGAGTAATACCTAGAAATAGAATCCGCAGCCAACCATTTAGGTGAGTTTTAATTGCCTATATAGTAAATCTTTTGGTTCATTCCTCTATCAACCATCTATCAACAACTAAATATAGGAATGTAGGCTTTAACGGCTGGCGTCAGTGTTCTGATTGACTTCCGGGTTTTGCCGTGGTCTTCTTTGGTTATAATCTCCAAACGTTTCGACTGCAACTGCGGTAGTCATCATCAGTGGCGTGTTCGAAGTAGGTACTCTTCTCCTGTTTACTGAGTTTCAGTTGACCAAAGAAGACCACGGCAAAACCCGGAAACCAATCAAAATTTGGAGGTTTGTCTTTCTTCTATAGATAGGTACTTTCACGGGAAGTGTTCAGGTGACTTGGCACATTTGATTCCACTAAGAGCTATACATATCAGAAATACGCGACGGACTGCGGTTTCCACACAGGCACTGCTCTTGATGATTTTCCTGCAGTGCTTGTGCACTGAATGATATAAAAAACAAAATTGCAGATGGATATGATGAAAGCCCTAGAAATATTAGTAGTAATTATCAATTATTCTTTTGAAACTGCCTTGTTTCTCTCTTCCCTGAAAACTTCTATATATGGTTATTCTTCTTCATAAAGGAGGAGATTTGGACAACCGTTCCAATCTACGTCATATTCCTCCAATTCCTGTCATTGCAAAGATGATGGAAAAATTGGTCAAGAAACCAATGATACGTTCTTGAATTGACACAGTATTATAATTAGTCAAAAATTTGGGTTTCATTCTAAAAAAAGATAACACATGATGCAATTTTTCATTTTTGTACGAACTTTATTTGAGAATAAATGCTGGCGAAGTGACTGCAGCAATTTTTTTCAAGTGTTTACGACACTAGGTCCGATAAGAGCTATCGCAAATCTTTATTTTTTTTTAAGCATATTGCCAGATGGTATCTCTTTTTGTCGATAAATTAAACTTTTTATCTAAATTATTTATGAAATATGAATTTAAGAGGCCATCAACGATGTGATTTTTCAGTACAGTTTACGGTGGAAATGGAATAGGTCCGCCGAAAAAGAAAAGCAGATTTTGAAATCGAGAGGGTAAGGAAGATACTTATTCCTAAATACTTTGTTAAATACGGATATTTTTAGGTTATTTTATTCTCTTGAGGCAATTCAATTTTCTTGTCAAATATACACTTGCAATTTTCATTTTCATAAAATTAGTAGTTAGGAGGCCTACGAACCAGAGAAATTATAGGTACTCATTCATATCACTTGTAAATATTACAAAGTAATCCGATTTGTCTGGGTATTCAAAGGCCTTAGAAGTTATTTGTATGGCTTATTTTGAAGAAGTTTTTATCACTGTCTGTGTATCTTTGGTATATCCATATTTTTCCCCTTCATTCTCTGTTATCGTTTTCAAATATGGATCATCAAATATGGTTGCTGTGAGTTACATCGAAATTTCGTAATATTCGTAATTTTCTGAATGAAATAGTATACCATGGGGACAATATATTATCTGATTATATTGAATTCCCTGTATGCCACTTCCAATTTTCAACAGTCGGTATTCAGTAATTCAATTAATCGAATACAAAGAATCAATGTCAGAAATTTTGTATTCACAGGGCATGAAAACATTTCTTTCTCCAAAGAATCATCTTATACTTATGGAAGATTCTAAAAATATTTTTTTAATTATAGCTCCTATACATTGTGACAAAATTCGTGAAGGAGAATTGAGTGTTGCCGTAATAATAACAATCTTTTGCATTTTGTTTGAAAGAGTTAATAGTGTAGGTATCCGAAGTATCATTCTGAGAAGTGATTTAAAAATATATCTTTCTTATGTTGTAAAATTCTTTTTTCACAAAATCAGGTTATAACTATCTGTTTTAAATGTTACCCATATATTTAGAAGCGTTTATTTTAAGTTCAGAATATTCTAGATGCTGAAGAAAAAGTATCTTCAAGGCTCTCCTGAAGAATGAGCGTGATAAATGTGTTTGAAAATAAGATTCATTATCATCGATATTATATTCAGTTTATTTATCACATAATATTTCACGAAACGATTACTTCAGAAGAATTTATGAATTGATCATTGTTACTGATTAAAATAAACATGAAATCGCTAGTCAAAAATTTGTTTTCAAACAAAACTTTTTAGGTTTGTATTGTTATATGTTCTTCCCCGTGGATTTACCAATAATTGACTACACTAAACAATGAGCCACAATAAACCCTTGCGTGTTGCGGTTGAGGGTCGAATAGACCCACTCAGTTTGGACCTAACCTAACTCTAACACTGAACAATAGTCAAACTTAACTTTATTCCACTTCAAATACAACGAATTACTTTAACTAAAACTTCAACTATTATTCAAATGTCTAGCGCCTTACTAGATAGCTTCGTGTACCGCAATGTCACTTCCACTTGACTGACTCGATAGGCGCGTGGTAGCGTTTATATATGGCAATCGAAAGCGGTGGAAAATTCATCGGAATTCCATGGAAGCCGGTGGCATTATTCTCGCCACATCTAGAACGGCAGCGAACATCGAACATTCGCGAAGCGTCGGTCGGACTGGGCGCGCTCACAATTGTTTTATGGCTACCAGTGGCGGACGGCGTTATTTTCTTTAGGGCATGATTCACAACAATATTATCGTTCACGAGTTTAGCACTTGTTATGATATCTGCCTAGGTAAATCTACTTGTGGATTGTGTCATTACAAACCTCACGAGTTTTTAGATATATATTCTGAATTTTAAAGCTCTGATTGCATTTCAGTAAGTCTGACTAATCGTACTACTTGACGTCTTTTCATTTCGATTTTGAAACAAGATGGAGTCTGTACAATTATTAAATCACAATTGATTTTCCAATTGAGCCTTGGAATACTTCGCGCCCTATTATTTTGGAACAAATTAAAATTATTTCAATTCTAGGTACGAAATGAAGTTGTTATCAATCGCCCTGGCTTTGGCGGGTCTGACACTCGTCAATTGCGCCGGTGTATATAAGCAGAGATTCCTCGAGCAATACAATAAGATTCACAATGAAAATAATGGGTATTTCTCAAAAGAAGGCGTGCCGTATCATGCCGTCGAAACCCTAATAATCGAAGCGTGCGACCATGGTCACCAAACTACGTCCGAAGCGTACAGCTACTACATTTGGCTGGAAGCTATGAACGGCGCCATCAGCGGAAACTTCTCGTCGTTCAACGCTGCCTGGAAGAACATGGAAGATTATATTATTCCGTCCCACACAAGTCAACCGAACACGGACTTGTACAACCCCAAGAATCCAGCAACGTACGCGCCTGCCATGGACACCCCAGAACAATGGCCAACATCTCTAGAACCCGGAGTTCCCGTAGGCGAGGACCCTCTTTTCCAAGAGCTCCAAACCACCTACAACACCTACGATGTATACGCGCTGCATTGGCTCCTCGACGTAGACAACACATACGGCTTCGGTGATAGCCAAGGTACTTGTTCGGGTGGCCCCAGTGTGAAGAAGCCATCTTTTATCAACAACTACGGAAGAGGGCCGTCAGAAAATGTCTGGATGGCCATCCCCTCGGGAATCTGCGAGGCATTCAAGTACGGTTCCAAGACAGGGTTCTCTGGCATCTATTCCAAAGGTAATCCCGTTCCGAATTGGAAGTTTTCCGTCGCTCCCGACGCGGATGCCCGAGCCATCCTGGGAGCCTTCTGGGCCTCTAGGTGGGCTACCGAAAAGGGGGAGCTGTCCCAGATAACAGACACTTTGGCGAAAGCTAGTAAGTTGGGAGACTATCTACGGTACGCCATGTTCGAAAAGTACTTCAAGCGGGTGGGGAACTGCATCGACCCTTACAAATGCCCGGGGGGACACGACCGAGAGAGCGCGCACTACTTGCTCTCCTGGCACGTCGGATGGGGTGGCTCCGTTTCTCGAAACGGCGGGTATGCTTGGCGAGTTGCAGATGCTACCGTGCATTTTGGATATCAGAATCCTTTAGGTGAGTATTTTTTGCCATTAAGCAAAAAACCAATGATGAAGTTTTCTTGACCTTTTTTTGTTGATAAGAAAGTCATTGTTGATTAATTGATTTATTATTTTAGCCGCATACGCTTTGTCCCAAGAACCCACTTTGAAGCCAAAGAGCCCGACCGCGGCCCAAGATTGGGCCGCCTCATTGGAAAGGCAACTGGAATTCTACGAATACGTTCAGTCGGCAGAAGGAGCCTTTGGAGGAGGAGTCGTCAATTCTTGGAAAGATCGATACGACACCCCGCCAGACGACATAGCTTCGAGCACTTTCCACGGAATGTTCTACGACTGGCAACCAGGTGGTCACAATCCGCCATCCACCAGGTGGTTTGGCATGCAACCTTGGTCTACGGATCGGTTAGCGCAATATTACTACGTAACAGGTGATAAAAAGGCCAAGGCGATTTTGGACAAGTGGGTGTCATGGGTCATTTCGGAAATCACCTTTGAGGGCGACAATTACAAGCTCCCTAACTCGCTGGAGTGGAGTGGAGTCCCTCCGAATGTCCACGTGAAAGTCGCTGACTACGGCAGCGGTATTGGACCGGCAGCTGCTACGGCTAGAACACTGTCTTACTACGCGGCCAAGTCCGGAAACAAAGCAGCTAAACAAGTTGCTAAGAAGCTTTTGGACGGAATGTGGAAGTTGTATCGAACCAACCTAGGTATATCGTCCGAAGAGCAGCCTGACTATGATCATTTCCAAGATAAAGTTTACGTACCTCCGGGATGGAGCGGCGTCTATCCCAACGGAGACGTCTTGAACTCCTCGTCGACTTTCCTCAGCATCCGGTCGTTTTATAAGAAAGATCCGCAATGGCACAAGATTGAAGAACGTTTGAACGGGGGCCCTGCTCCGACGTTTACTTACCATCGTTTCTGGGATCAGTCGGAGGTTGCTCTAGCGATGGGGGCCTACGGACTTTTATTTAATGAATAAAAATAGCCATGAAATGTTTGTATTTGTGAAATAAATTCAACGAAGTGTGCTATGGCGCTTTATTCATCAGTCAATGAATCAACTGGTTTCAATTTTTCATTGAAAAGTAACTGGTATTTACTGTTTGTCCAAGAAGAGTCGGCATGGAAAAATCGGGGTAAATATTCGTTTTGAGGGCAACCGGCGATTTTGAAAAAATTTTTGGGTGTACTTACGTATTTTGATATGTAGATTACGAATCCGAAAGAAAAAAGCGGCGCTCTCCCATATTTACGAAGTTACGGCCATTCAAAGTTCAGTAAAAGGGCAACTTTTCAGCCTCCTTTTTCACAAGATTAACTATTTAAAAACACAAGCGTTTATTCACTAGGTCACCTTTACACCTTATTCCTCCTTTCTTGACATTTTCACTTCAACAATCAACATTTTTTCAATAGAAATGTTAAAAAATGTACGGAGCTGCTTTTTGGTTATATTTCTCTGTATTTTACGTTTCCAAGGTTAATGACATAGTTGCTACGAACGATGCTGCCTTATTGTTGCTGCAAACACTCCTACTTGAACTAAATAAAGAATGAAATTTTCTCTTACTTTCACTAAATTATTAATTTCGTTCAAATTCATTTTGTGTTTTTATAGTCACTCACGTCAAACTAAAAATCCAAATCTACGAATTTGAAATAGAAGCGGCGGAATACCAACCGCTTTTTTCTGAAATGTCACTAGTAACTAACCTAGAAATAGAAGAATGCCACCAGAAGAAGCATTCGTTTTTAAATTAGGTTTTTTATAAGAAAAATGTTGATTGTTGAATTGAAAAGTGTCAATTGAGGAGGAATAAGGTGTAAAGGTGGCCTAGTGAATAAATGCTTGTGTTTTTAAATACGTAAGTACTCTAAAAAGAATGTTTTTCAAAATCGCCGGGTGCCCTCAAAACGGATATTTACCAATATTTGTTTTCCCTGTTACAAAATTATTACTAATTTCAAATACATTGAAATTTCTGCTATTTGTATCTCCCGGCATTCTATAAGGCTCTTAGAGATCCATAACACAGAAACCAAAACTATTTGCCGATATTGCCTACTTTTTTAAAAATGAGATGGAAATTCAAAACAACACTGTTCTAAGACGTTTGATATAATGCGCTTGGGTCCAGATTCGAAAACTTTATATGCTCATGGTTATGGTATGGAATATCAAATAGTTTACTTGCTGCTTAGTTGGTTGCTATGAGAGGTTATATGAAAGAGTCATTTTGAATGTCGCTTCTTCTTATACCTATACATGTAATTGTTTTATAATGCAATAAAGTCCCATTATAATTATTATTATTAGTATGTGACAGCAACTCTGTTGTTTTTCTTCGTCGAAGAAAACTTGTAATTTCGATAATGAAATGAAGATTTTTTTTGCCATTTGATATAATTTTGTAAATGACACAGTTTATGTTTTATAAAATTTATTCAAATTTGATGCTTTTTTGAACAGGTAATTTAGATGACTCTTTCCTCAATAATGACTTACGCTCCAATACCAATTTCGGCTGACTTTCCTTGTTCAACTGTAACTGACTTGCTTCGTTAATACCTGAAGGACTTTTATCTACAGTTTTTTCAGGGGCGTTCTCTAAATCGACGACTCCTATTTCTTCCTCTACTTCGACCACCTTCGTTTTAGATTTCTTCTTTCCTTTTTTCTTCTTAGATTTTTTCTGGACAACGGGTAACGTCGTTTCAGGGTATAGTTTCATGTAGGCTTTGGTCATCTCGTTGCAGTCAATCTTCTTCTTTACGGTGAACATATTCGTCAGTTCGTCGATCAAGTCCTTGTCCAGTCGCTTGATCTTTTTTTTCTTCAGAAGATTATCAAAGTCTTGACGAGGTATCGGGTTTTCAGGTAGGGTTAGAATGAAATGACTGAAAGATTCATTCAACATTATTATTATAACACAGTTATGTCGCCAATCGCTGTGGATATCAAGATGCAGGAAATACCGGCACTACGTTACTTGACGCTAGTTTGAAGTAGCGAAAACTGCTTCAGAAGAATAAAAAGGCAGCTTCATTTGAAAAAAAACGTTGAATGAGAAAGTCAACTAGCTCATGAAAACCTTTCTACACCACATCAATTCAATTTTTCCAATGACAAGGAGAACAAATAAGAGATACCATTTTTATATGTACATAACAACAGAAAAATTGACGTTGAATTAGGTCACACAGTTTATCGCAAAACTACTCATACTGATTGTTACCTCAACAAGAACTCAAACTACCATCCAGGGCAAAAAAATGGAAACACTTGTTCCTGGTGTCACTAGGATTTGCGAGCATATCCTCTAGACCAAGCTCTATAGGCTAGCGCAAGAAATCAAACATGCCGTTCATCCTAGAAGAAGGAATATTTCAACCTCAAAGGATCTAGCCGCCAGAGATGGGTACAGTGTACTTGCCTTACATGAACAAAGTCACGTACCGCATCGGAAAATTGTTTTAATGTCCCAACATTAGAACCATTTACAATCCAAGTAAAGTACGCAACACTATCAGATCGGACAAGCACGAAAGAGAGGATAAAAAGCATGGTTTGCCTAGTTTTTCAAAACCCATAATAAATCTGCATGTATCAGGGATTTATCGAAGAACAACTGAACATCCTAAAGAAGCTGATGAGCATCATGTAGTAAGTGGAAAAATTCATCGAAAACGGTGTTCAAAAATTCCAAGGAACAACTTCTTTTATAATCATCACTACCGTTATTTTGCACAGACATAGTACTTCAATAAAATATTCATTACTATTACTTACCCAAAGTCTTTTTGAGCTTTTTTGCTCTTTGGTTTCATCAGAAGGTATCTGCATCGTTCAAACAGAAGTTTATTCACATTTGGACCTTTTATTTCATAATTTCCTAGTATTCCGCCAACCTTGATAATTTTTCCCATTCTTTGAGTTCTTGTTAGAAGCTTACAAAATAGATTGCAATTATGTTTATGCGGGAATACATTATTTCAATACAAGATATCTTCTTTTAATACCAATAACATAAATATTACAAAATACAACAAAGTGGACCCACTTATATTCGTACTAATGTTGATTTTAATTAATTTTCCCATACTAACAGACAGACTCTTTCAAAAAAGTTTCTCCACTTTTTCCACACCACACATAAATCTATCGACAATTTTTTTGAAATTTACGATTTCGAAATTAACTTTCACGGAAGTATACATTATAATTGAATGGGTCGAAAAAAATTGTATTTTGATAGTTTTTAATAACTGAGAAACTGATGAAGAATTGAGATAACCTCCAAGTAAAACTCGTTAACATATAAGACTCCAAAAAATGGAGGTCAAACCGCGGATATGTGTTTTTTGGATATTGGCCTCATTAGCGCGGTGCAAACAAAGATTGGCAACACCTAGAGGAACACGAAACAACAAATGAAGGAGTCACCACAGACACACAATACTATTCTGAGAGTCGCCAACAGGAGCCCACAGTACAACACATATGTGGCTTCTTCTGTATTATTTGTATTTATATCCTGGATCCGGATGCCACGCAGGTACTTGTAGCTCCCTACGTGGACATGTTATTTGTTTCCTAGGAATACCAGGTGTTATAACTGAAACTGTTGGTGTCTTCGTTCATGTAAGTTGTTTTCGGCGACCACATGTTGCCGATTTATGCACTTGGTTGCTGAGGCCGATAGCCTCAGGGGATTACCCTCTTTTTTACACTGATGAAACCTTGGTGGACCGAAACAGCGCCATCTGGTGTTGGATCACAAGTGCATCTAGTTGCCTTGCAGTGAAAGACAGAAGACGACTTTGGCTTTGCAACTGACCGCCTCGAGGAGCCTTGATTTTTGAGTTATACCTCGATCTCATAGATGGCGTTTTCGTAGGAGGGGACACCATCACCTTTGAAATTATTATTATTGGATTTTCACCTTCTACAATTGAAAAAATAAAAAATGTAATGGAAAACTTTATTCACGTATCGAAAAGCAAACTTTTTAGTTGAACTCGATAATTTACTGCGTGTGTGACGGAATCGGTCGATATTTGATGAAAATCCATAACGTATTCAAATAACACTTTATTGTGAAATTTTCACTGAACACTTTTACAAAAAAGCATTACGTGTTTCGGTATGCAATAGCTACTTCAGGTGTTTCTATACTCCGCCGTAAAGACACGCCTGAAGAAGCTATTGTATAACGAAACACGTGTTGCGTTTTTGCCAAACTGTTTAGTGAAAATCTCACAATATAGTGTTTCTTGAATAAGTTAGGTACTGCGAAAATTTGAATGATTTTTTTACAAAAAAAAGTTCTATTCATAACTTGTATTCAATAATTTTGCCTATTGCAGAATACATTAGGTTTTTCAGTTCAGAAGAGGGAGGCAGATTTTATCCTCCGAAACGTCAAGACAGGTACCTGTACAATATGTTGGCTCTTTTTTTGTTGGTGAAAATCATTAAATACGAGAAGTTACTGTTGAATGAAACATTTATATTTGTGAAAAATACTTTGAATTTACGCAGTAATTTATTGGTATAAACTAAAAAGTTCTCCATTACGATTTTTTTTTCAGAGTGTGGAAGGGAAAATCCCCAAAATAGTCGATGAAAAACTTTGATTTCCTACACAAAAAATTACTTCTTCGAAATTACCATCATTATTATTATGAATGTAAAACAAAATCTGAAAAATAAAGGGTTTATTCGCATAAAAAACAACAGAGAGAATGATTGCTCTGTTGAAACCCTATAAAAACAATACAAAATATCTTATAAAAACTAATGCATAAGTATCTCCATTTGAACCAATCTGCTATTTGTATCTCCCGGCATTCTATAAGGCAACATCCCTGTAAAATCAGTGAGGCATTTGGCCTGCTCCCTCAAACGACTCAACTGCTTTCCAGTGGATTCGTCCTGGAACCTCGGAATATATTCATTGTTTGCCTTGATTTTCTGATACTGTGAAAAAATCATGTTCATCGAAGCTAGGAGAACATCTGGGAAAACCTTGCAAACATCAGATTGTATGGTTTTGAAATTCTTTACTCTGTCATCGATATCTTCAGACCTAAGAGGAATAAGCTCCAAGCCACTGAGAGTTTTAAAAGCTTGATTGTATTGCTTGGCGTGATATTGATTGAAGAAAAACACCAGGTCTTTAAGTTTGAGAAAACTGTTGACTATACTGGGAGTTGTTTTGTAACCCTCTCTAGAAAAGCGTTCTGCGAATTCTACAGCTTTCTCGTGCATTTTGTTTCTCAATGAATCTGGCTCGCTTTCCATATGAGCAACCTGCGACAGAATACTGCATACTATTTTGATTACTTCCTCTTGGTTATTTGCTATATTGAATACCTCTATCGCCTCTTCATACAGCCCCTTCTTGACCAACCGTTCCCCTATCAGTTGCGCTATACTTTCAGCAGTAATATTAGCCCCAGTGAACTGATCGATCAGTCCCTTTGTTCTGATTCCGTTACGCTGTACCTTGCCTAATATTGTCTCGTACTGCTTCGTCTCTATGGCTAAGTAAACGGTAGAAATCTTGAACAAGTTGTGTCCTTCTGAATCGTTATAGTATCGAAGGAAGTAAAAGTAGTTGAGGGCTTCATTGAGAGACGTCAGTTCAAACTTTTTGACATACATCATGATGAGACGAACTAAATTCAGACAAGCAGCTGGTTTGTCATGCATAGGGTCATTAGTTATGAGTAGAGAATTTGAATCTTTCGGCAAGGCAAGCATATACAACTCGTTCAAAGCAATTGCCATATGAACTGAATGAGGACGGAATTTATCGGTGCGGGAGAGAAAAGCAAAAGCTTCTTCAAATTGCCCTGTCAGAGCTAAAACTTGGAAATACAGGTGTGGTTGATTGACAGCATCGTAGTGTATCTCTCCATATTCCTCTGAAATCAACAGCTGCAGATCTTCGTACTTGACGTAATCGTCTTTGTTAGAATCAACCCTCACAAGACTGAGTTTCAGCCATAAGTAATCATCAGCAGTACGAGCAACTTCGGAGTGCTCGTCAGAAATGTCACAGCAACCCAACACAGACCAAATGATGCGCTTGAAGGGATCTGTATCGTTTCTAACAGAATGTCTATAGGAAATCTTTATATTGTCTTCCAACTTGACCATTTCAGGACGAGGAGAGTTTTTCAGTTTTGCTTCTAATATGGCAATTATTTCTGGAAACTCTTGCAGGCCGCTTTTTCTCAAACAAAATATAGCTGCTTGAATGTCTCCAGATCTTAAACAGTAATACACCATTGGCCAGAGGGGACGGTCATCTATGAGCCCATTTTGCAGCCCCAAATACTCCCCCTGCAGTCGCAGCCCCACAAAGCTACGCACTAAGTGATATGTACCAGGAATACCTCCACGTGCAGCTTGCACCAAGTTCTCGTTGATAATGTTGTTCATGAAGGTTTTGTATCTGTCTTCAAGGTAGCGTAACCCTTGTTTCACTAGACCGGCAATAACGGTTTTGCTCTTTCTTATTTTGATGGGGTCGTCGCCTTGTGGAAATGGGGGTAGTTGTACCATATACTTTATTATTTCCCACATATCTGATATTTTAGAGTCTTTGAATTCGTTGGATATTCCTGTGAATATGTTCACTAGGTTTGGTTTTTGAACACCTTTATTTACCGTAGTATTATACTCGATGATTTTCGAAACATAAATTGTTTCGATGGGGCTTAGGTTCCCTAGAGCAATTCCCGTACGAACTGCAGCTAAGCAGCGTGGTCTGGGGCTGTCTAATATATCTAAAGCGCTGGAACGGATCGCACAACCTATCTTATGTTTTTGCTGCTTCCACTCTGCATTCTGGTGCTCCCAGGCTGTATTGTAAGTGAAATCCTGCATGGTGTTGTAACAGGAATCGAAAGCGGCCAGGATTTTATTCCTTATTTCATTTTGTAAAATAGTTTCAATATCCAAGTCTTCCACAGGCTGAATGGGTTCGAAGGTGTGTTTCGTGCTGATAGACTCCAACTTCTGGGCGATTTTCGGCAAGTCGACTCCTTTAGAACCCAATAATAGATTGGCCTGGATGTCCTTTGCCCCGCTTTGGGCTACTCTGCCATACAAGTCATTTGAAGCTTCCAGCACCTGTTTGAGCGAGCGTTCGACTTTGGGAAGCTCAATCGTTCCTTCTAGTTGGTTAGTGAGCTTTTCAGCTTCGTGAAGAAGGTCCGAAAAATCGGACATGTTCAGCTTTGCTTTTACTGATGAATATCTATAAAATGAATAATCGTATATAATCTGTTAATCGGTTTCAAGTTGATCACCCTTACTTCTCGAAAGAGTAAAAAAGAAAGTATTCGCAAATACACGAATTTGATTTAACTGAAATTATTCAATTTACCGCTTTACTGTCTAGGTTATGTTTACTACCATTATTGGTGCTAATCAGTGTTGCCAACCAAATAAAGTTGCAGGAAATATAAAATCACAGAAAAATGACGGTGATACAAAAATTTTACAAAATGTAGCTCACTGGAAAACAGTAACTGAATGAATAAAAAATGATCGGTCGATGTTTAACAGATTATTTGCCGTTTTCGGCATGCCGCATCGCCTTTGATAAAGTATTTCGAAGCAGACGAAATTTGCATTCACCGTTTTCTTACCTGCTCAACCTTGACCTAAACTTTCAATATTTTCAGTTCTCAACCTCATCTTTATTATTTATTGCTGTATTTATAATTTATCCGATGCATATATACTTTTTCACAAGCAAAAAAGGAAACGGTTAGAGAACATTACATATCTACCTACTTATATACATATGCTTAGATAAATACATATTGAGTATGTAAATGCTGAGACTCTTTAGGGATATTGTGTGAAATGTTGAACTCTATAATTAATTCTTCATATATATTCCCAATAGTGCAAAATCAGAAACCATCACACCTATATTATTTGAGCGAAGCTGATGTTTTGACAGTGAAATGAATGATAATCATCTGTGCGAAAAACTGAAATCTTTAGCACTTCAACAAATCAAGGATTAGAACAGAATAATAAGCGGGATACTTACTTGGACACTGTCCATTTCGTATAAGTGAACATGAACCTCTCCTCTGACGAAGAGACTGTCAAGAGAATCGAGAGAAAATTTTAAAGGACAAATTTTAATAAAACCAAGCTTCGATATCAAGCGGCGAACGATATTCTTGTTTTTTTTTCATTGATTCGGCCGTTACTTGATTGATATCCATAGTAATTTCATAAACTACAACTCATGATTTGATCTCAACAAATTTTGTGGAGATCAAACCGTGAGTTGTTGTTAATAAAATTAGATATTATTCTGTCTTTCTCAGCAGCTTTCAGTGCAAAACATCTAGCTAAAACTAAAGCCCACGACGTGAGACAGCGCTATTTCTACCTGCTATAGGTCTCATCAGTGATTCTAGGTGGAATTCCTGCTTTGTTCAACTCCACCGTCCTTAAGTCCAGAAGAATATGAAAACATCCAATAAAAAACCTGTACAATTCAGTGCAGGAAGTTAATATTGTCGGAAACACGTAATACACTATGTGGCTTCAGTGTTATCAGCAGCAAAAAGGAATCAGATATAAATAATGAGGATCTGTTAATACTTTTGTTGAAAAATGTATTGTTATAACTGGTACGGTAACATTTGCACTTACCGGCAAAATTTCTTTGGTGAAATAAATGTTCTCCATATCCAAATACTTCAGAGGATCTTTCGCCTTTGCTATCATCACAGAAGCCATCCAGTGAGCTTGATCAGGTTGATAGGGATTGCTTCCTATGCGCACACTTATTAGCGAGTGATTTTTCAAAATGCCGGCTCTGACCATTCTTAAAGGTACTTCGGCTAATCTGAGAAACAGAAAATAAGTTTTTTCTTGTGATGAAGCGGTACAATGCATACCGGTTACTGCTCAGGTCTATATGTTGCAAAGTCGTCGACTGCTTGATATATTTGACTAACGGAACTACAGCAAGTTTTGTACCGATCCCATTCCATGCTAAACTCAATACTTTGATTCTGTCACTTTGAATGAAACCATTGAACAGTTTTTTGTTGCCTAAAAATGTATTTCAAATAATGAGAGCCGCCATCCTATTTCTGTAAATCTTTCTTTAACCTGGCCCAGTGAAAAATCCATTCCACGACAAATCTATTTCAGTTATAGTTTTATTTTCTAACAAGACCGTTTCGAGGGTTTCTGCAGAGTCTTCAGTTAAATTGTTGTGACTTATGTTCAATATCCGTAACGATGGGGTCTCGCACAATCCTTTTTCCAAGTATTGCAATCCGACATCTCCCAGATCATTAAAACTCAAATCTAGTTCGATTAAAAATTGGGATCCCGATAAAGCTTCGTTCAGTTTCTCAGCTCCTTGAAGAAGAAGGTATATGAAGATATATAAAGAATACATTCAGAATATATATTTTTCATAGGATCTTAGATATTGAAAAAAATAATATAGATTGTTTATCTGGGAGGAAACGGGCAACCCGTCACTGTGAGAACCTAGTCGCCATCTGACTGAAGCAACGTCAGCCAGAAAGATTAGTTTTCAAGTAGACTTTTGGTGCAATAACCTCGGCCGTGGTAGTAATCACATTGTACATGTTGAGACCTCGATAACCCTTACCTCGCCCAAGTTTCGGCTTTTGAGGGTTGTCCCTGCCAAGAGTAAATCAAATACTCCAGAATGCATGACCCTGTTACATTCTAAACGACAACATCTAAGTAGCGAATTGATGTAATGATTTTAAAATAAGAGCTCACTATATTGCAAGAGGTGTTTTCTGACGTTTAATCGTATTCGAGCATGTATTAAAAAACGATCCGTAGTTACGTCATTATATAAGATTTGCCAGAATGGAATGATTCAATTTGTGTGAGATGTCAAATTCGAAAATAAAAACAAACTTTTCAATTTTCTCTAACTCAATTATAATCGGATTTGTGCAAGTAATAATTTCCCTGATTTATTTTGTACATCCTTACAACTTATTTGATGAAAAGTTTTCAGCACTTTATAAACTATAACGATCAAAGTAAAGCAGAAACTGACAACTGACGTAACGTAATGTCAAACTCCGTTTCAAAACCAACCTCACGCTAGTTTTGAATCATCATGAATACGTTTCAACTCATAGTTGATGTGACGTCATCGTTTCAACGCCAGAATGAATGAACGAATACGTTTTGAATACATGAGCGCCATTAGTAACAAAATGTTACGTTTTTACCCATTTGAGAAACTGTGAACTGACAGTTTACAAACCAGATTTGACAATTGACATTAGTACCAAAATCGATGATTGTAGTGCTAGTGTTGCAAACCTCTCGCCGCGAAATACTACTCTTTGTGTGCGACTCATTCAAAAGCTACATGTCAAATGTAATTTTTTTGACTTGTAACCTATTTTTTCGAGCAGGAACAACACTTTTGAGGATAGGTATAATCATAGATAAGAAAAAAGATTAAATTATATATGGACTACGTTTTTTAATTGATAAAACATATTCAGTTGGAAGGGTAACTTTATCATAAATATACGACAAAAACCTTGAGTCGAACGATGGAATAAGAATAAAATATTATAAAAATGGCTAAAATTCACGTAGAATGGGTTAAAATCAAGAGAAATTCTCTACACCTCAGAAACAATATTTCCTCGAGTAAACGATTAAAACAATCGCGAATCGACATTCTTGATCGACTCTCAACTACACCAGTAATTGATACTATGAATTAATAAAATATTTTTAACAAATTTCCATTTGATTTTACAGGTTTACAAAACTATTACCCCTCATATACCTGAATAATTAATTTCAACTATTTTTTTATTCGAGACATTTTACCCTTCTCTCCTATCCTGCACTCCCTTAAATTGAGAACACGCAAAACACTATTTTCTTCCAGCATACTTGTAACCAAACCAGTCATGTATGGATCTAACCAGTTATCTTGTAGTATAAGAGTTTCGATATAACTGTTGACTTTCAAACATTCCGTTAGAGCTCGCATCTGCTTAGCTGTTAGACCATAAAACTAAAACATTGAAGGTATGATAAGTTTCATGTAGTAATAAGATAAAAGTGGCCATGTTTACATGAGCATAAACATAACAATCGAGGTTCTAAAATCCACCGTATTTACACGGATCAAGCATAAGTCGCACCTACCTTTATGAAACCTTATCCCTACTACCTTCGTTGCCAACATAAAACATTTGACTAACTATACCATCCAAAATAGAGAGAGAGAGACATTTGAGCTGTCAGAAGATTTTTTTTTATTTCACCATAAAATGGAACACTTTGCGGAAGGAATTATTTCATTCTGAAACCTTATTCTTTCAACGTTTGTATTACTTGTATTATTGAACCAGTACAATGAAATTGTATGAAAATCATTTTGACATACGCAATAACGGTGGTTTTAGTAACATCGGTTGTTAGAAAGCATCCTTCTGCTGCTGTGTGAACGAGATCAGTGTACCACATTTTGGTCAAAGGCTTTTGGTGATGAGGATTGTTTGTACCTTTAAATTCAATGTTGGCCCCTCTAGAGACGTTATTATCCTTCTTATAGGAACAATCTGGAGGTCTTTGCACATATTAACGTATTTTTCAAGGCCGGTATCATCAACTTTTGGATTAGGTTCTGGAATTGATCAATCTAATAACAACCAAAACACCATCATGGAAATAAAACCTTTATAATTGTAAGCTTCTTCAATTCCTGGATCCTCTAGTGGTGGAAAAAGATAAAGCCTGTTTTTCATCAAAGAACTGCTAGATAAAAGAACTTGAGCCAAGCATCTGAATGAGCGTGTGTTTTTAAATAACAGAAAAATACTGTCGCATTGTTCATCTTGTATTCTTTTACGATTATCGTCTTCTTCGATGGCATCCTCGATACGAACTTCGGATTTGTTCGGAATCTCAGGAGAGGAATTCGTGGGTTGTTGGTTCAGACTTGCAGACTGCATAACGGAAATTTTTTAGCCCTCCCGTTCGTTTGCGCTCATACTAATTCACATTATGTAGATACCCTGACATATTGACGGGAACAGTTTCTGTCAATTGTATGTGCAAGATTGATTCTTGAAAACATTTCGTCAAACTGTCAGTTTTGTGATATTTGCTCCGATATATCGAGTTTCAAGATAATTCTTGCACAGGAGTTCTATTCCAACAATAGGAAGATGATCACTTGGTGATCGAAACATGTGTCGAGGTGTTAAAGTAACGATTTGGTTTTAGGAGAAAACTCCACTAATATTCAAGCTGAACAATAACGAATAGAACGACATTCAATCAAATTTTGGGAAATGACACTGCAGTGTTGTCCAAGTTCTAAAAATCTATGTCATTGCAGCTCAAAATAATCTTGAACAGACAAATTTCTTGTGTGTGATTTGTTTCATATGACCGGACTCAAAAAAACTCCACCATTACAACAATACTGTTTATTCAAGATCTTATCTTGTCAACAAATATTTATAATAATTGAATATTTACAATTGTCTTTGGTCAGTTTACGTAAAATACCTATACATAAAATAGTTCAATAGAATCAGTGGGGCCATTATGGAGGTTCCTTCCTTCATGATACTTCTTGAATTAGACTTCATTTTCCCTGTAAAAAAACAAAATGGTATCAAACATGAGAATAAACAAAATCTGTCGTGTATTAGGTACATCATAAAGTATATTGCAGAAACTTGGGAATATGTTTTATTTCTGATAAAAATTTATGCAGTCTGGCAACCATGTAACTATTCATCTTTACCGGGAATTATTCATCATCTAATTTTTGTCAACGAAAAAATGTTGTGAAGATTATTACGAAAGTTCGAATTAGAAAAAATAACGTATTTTGGTAGTACTTGTTATGCGCGACACGTTTTTAATTATACAATAGCACCGTATTGAAGTAAACACTGAAATGTAGCAGAAACCATTTTTTCGATGACTTTTTGAAATTTGATGAATTTACAACGAACAAAAGTCATCTTCGACAACTTTACAACTTGGATAAGGAAAAGCAATATAGACTAGTACCCAAACTTACTGATTCTCATCCACTTTCAACTTACTTTCGAAGGACGAAGGTTAAACTAGCCAGTCTAGTTTTCAGTCATTCGGTAGCTACAGCGATGAATATTTATGGCAGTTTCAATAAAATACCATCAGCAGCAATAGGGACGCCTACATTCATTGAAAAAATGGATAGTGTTCGATATTTTGAATTCACATCGATTTGACGATATTGTACAAAGAAACTTGTACTACTGTTTTGTAAACTCTCTAGTGAAATTACATAGAAATCAAATAGAAAAAAAAAACGAAGATAACATTATGGCTACCCCGGTATAGTTAAAAAGAATTTCCACTCATTATACTGAATCTAAATAGAGCTGGAAATATATTTACTTCGAACTATTATACGTGACCAACTCAATTCCCAATTTAATAAACATATATCAAATGTAGATAGTTTTCAAATCTTTCTCCATTGTCTATTAAATTGCATGATGATTTCAATATTAAATTCAATGCCTTCAGTGGAACGGTAAAAGACCTTGAAGATAGTAAAATAGTTGTGTGTATATTAACAGTAACGGTATTTCTCAAAGTATCAAAACGTTGCTTTACATGAAATATATAATAATTAGATTCTATTCCTATCTACAATAATAGTGAGCCATGAATTATATAGTTCAGAACTTGTGGTTGACTTGTTATTGGAATTTTTTGTGTAATTACAATAAACGATTACGATATTGAGGACGGACAGACTTGATTTAGCGGTCGTTGGAAAATCGAAGTGATTTTGAAAACATACTTAGCTTTCATCTTAATAAAAACCTACGAATTATAATCTCAAGTGAGATATTCACGATTTTAGAAAAAATACTGAGGAAAGAATCAACCTAATTCCGAGAAAACAGGCTTCAAAAAAGGTAGCTCAATTGAGGATGATAAGTAAGCTTTCAAATATGTAGATAAAGTTAATGCAACACTGTGTGATGTTCATCAATACAGTGAGTCTGAAAATTACTATTGAAAATATTGTGAGAAGTTAGTTTGCACACAAATATGTTGTTTTGTTGAGAATTTGTGATAATATCGACAATCCAGTGAAATATAAGCAAGTTTTTAAGCTCTGTGGTGCCTCAGGGTACAATTTCGGGACCTTTCATCTGTAGGAGATGGTATCATTCCTTACACTGCTGCAAGCAACCAGGGATACAATTGAACCCAGGTTTTTGTTTAATAAAACCTACAAAAAACAAATAAAACGCTATACGCATATATACAGATGGCTCAAAAACCAAAGAAGGCTCAGGATGTGGAGTGCGTGGTCCAAACAGAACTGGCTGGTATCTCAATCGCCACAAAAGAAATAACCAGGAAAGGAATTTCTGGCAAAAACATAACAATCTGCACTGATAGCAGACAAGCCATATTAGCCTTGAACAGAAAACGTGTTACCTCAGGGCTAGTACTAGAGTGTCACCAAGATTTAGCAAAAGCCTCGGTAGATAATAACATTAACCTGAGGTGGGTTAAAGGGCACGACAGGAGTAAAGGTAATCGCATGGCCGACTCTTTAGCCAAGGAAGCGGCTGGACTAAGAATTTTAGGACCCAGTGGCACCCACGGCCTGATGACTTCGACAACTGCGGAACTAGTCAAATGTTACACCCATGCTTAATCCTTAAAGAGATGGGATGGAATCAAAGGATGTAATCTTGCTAGGATCACCCTGGGCGACCCTGCGAAGCTGGCGCCAAAGAAATATCTGGCGATGATCAGGAAAAATTTACGCTTAAAAGTAGGATTTCTGTCTGGCCACTGTTAACTAAGGAAACACCTCCACAATATGGGGCTAGTGGAGATACCTCTATGCAGGATGTGTGAACAGGAAAATGAAACTGTCAGGCATGTCCAGGAGTGCCCGGAGTTATCGTCAATAAGAGAGTGTGTGTTCGGCGAGTCTTGGCCTACACCTGCCGATATAAAGGAGATGTCTCCCAGCGACCTGTCCACCTTCCTGAAAAGGACATGATGGACGATGATCTAGGAGGACAACTCCTTGGGAGGATGTACAATGGTCACAGATACAGACACAGATAATTATTTACACTGTTTGAAGCTGGGCTGACATACAAAAAAAGCAGAAGAGTTTTCAAAAATGAAACATTATAATAAAATTTCTCTCAGCGACATAATAATTTACTTCCAGGTGAAGAAAGTTTTCCTTAGGAATAGTTTCTGACTCACAGAATTTTTATATAGAACATTCGGGCACTCACTGAACGTTTTTAATATCAAAACTGAATGATTTATGATGGTCTTATTCAACTTTATTCGACTTCGATCTAGATATTTTGACTTACATTTCATTAGTGCCAATTTTTGACAACAGCAGGTACGCAGTCTGTAATACTCTTCGCAGTTACTGAGGACCGTTGTGCACAACTGACTCCCAAGATAACAAGTGTGTGGGATGAACGGGAACATTTCTGGAATGGAAAATCGTATATTTTAAATAATACATACATACATACGTACACAAATAATGAAAATTGAGATAAAAGTGAAACCATATAATTTATGAATAAAAATGAACTATCCTTTGAGTTTATTGCCGTGTAAATACTATGGAAGTTGATTTCAATCGTCACATGATTTAGTACCATCAGAAAGACCAAAATAGGAACTACCAAAATACAATAAAAATTAGGTTATTTTCTCTCTTTTGATTTTCTCTAAGATAGAAGTGGATTAGTCTCTGAACCCCAAGAAACCCTTAGACTACCCGTGGGTTGGGCTACCTATCGGGCACGTCTCCAGGTGCCGGATAGGGGAACGGCCAGGAGACTGGAGGCTCTGTCAGGGAAGCCAATGTGGCCTTACGGACGGGGTCGCCGGACTCCTGGACAGTGGCAGAAATAAGCAGGGTAAGGGGAACTAAAACCCCCCCAAAGGCCTTTGCCAAATATGCCACCGTGGACCAGCCTACCCAAGCTAAGGTGTAAGGAATCGTGCCGACAGCTGAATGGCCGCAGGGTGATATGCGGTCACTAACGATCCCCTTGGGCAACTGGGCGAAACCTCATTGTAATCAGCCTACCTCTGGTAATGCGGGACTCTGCTAGAGGTGACCAACACTTCCCTTGCTACTCGTGGAAACACAATAAAATGAACACAAAAACAGAAACAACAAAAAACAATCCCGAGGCTGGACAGAAGTGCTCACCTCAATCTAAGGCGATGGCTGGGGATGAACTAAAATGTCCACCCCAATGTACCGCTTGGAATGAGGCTGGACATAGCAGACCACCTCCCACAGCAAGGGGGACTTCCTGCGGCGGGCGCCAAGAACTCCGCCTTGAATAAAGACAAAGAACCGGCTGCCTCTGCAGGAAACCTCCCTCACTTGTGCACCTCCACGGAGGGAACCCCAAGAAGGTTGAAGAAGCCGCGCAACGACAGTATTATCGATGCACCTTCCAAAACCTTCGCAGAGGCCACCGTGAGACACCTCAAGGTTGCCAAAGAGAGTGTGTGTTCGGCGAGTCTTGCCCTACACCTGCCAATATAAAGGAGATGTGTCCTCGTGACCTGTCCAGCTTCCTGGAAAGGACAGTATGGACGATGACTTACGAGGACAACTCCTCGGGAGGATGTACATGTGGCCTAAGTGCTGTGAGTCTACACTCATCCTCCCTACTCTACAGATACCAGATATCCTAAGACTACGAGGCCAACAAAACTGTTACCCCAAAAATTTTTATTCTGAAGGTCCGCTGTTCAATTGTTTCCGAACTATAAAAGTAATTATTTGATTGATTACTTCTATTAGTATTGTCCGTTATTATGGAGTCTATTTCAAACTGTAATCTATTAGCGGATACTTAGTCAATTTAATAGAAATAAGCGCCATTTGAATCAGTGCACTTTTGCCAACGTAACATAAGTCGATTAATTCCGTCAGCATACGAATTATGTGCTCGGGTTTCGATGAAGTCCACGAAGGTCATTTTTACCTGGTTCTGATAGGCGAAGGTTCCACCAGTGAGAAAGTTATCGCGCGTTAGCGAGAGGTCTGGTGAGTATGGTGGATGAGGCAGAACTTCAACGCTCAATTCTTTTAATATTCGGACGATGATTTGTGAAACGTGCGGACGGGCGTTGTCTTGGAGCAGTATGGGACTCCTTTCGTTGACCAGTGCCATCTGCTGCTGACTCAATTTTTGGTACATTTCGTCGATTTCCCGACAATATATCTCTGCTGTGATGGTTTGATATGGTTGCAGAAAATTATAGTGAATCACATCCAGTGTTGACCACCATACAGTAACCATGCACTTTATTGGTAGGTTATCGCCTTTGGAAGGTGCCCGACTGGCTCATCGGTGTCCAACCACTGTCCTGAACATTTCCTGTTAAGGATCCACTTTTCATCACACGTGAAGATCGGTTCCAAAAAAAATCGTTTTAGTTGCGTAAACAGACCTCGAAACGTGTGACAATTTCTGTCGATCATTCAAATCGTCGTGCGACCAATTTTCGAGCTTTTTGACGTTTCCTACACGTTTTAAACCATCAAAAATCACATGGGAGCATTCGTTACAGAAGATGAACTTCGCCTTTTGTATCCATATAATGAAAAATAATACAATTATAAGTTATGTAATAATAATAATAATTTTTATTCACCAAGAAGAAAATACAGAAATGTATTGTTGAAATAAACAGTAATATTCACGTAAAATACAGAGTCGGTTGGTAGCCGGGCGGATCGACGTCGGTGTTTTGTTCACTCAGTCAATCGGCTGATGTGTGAGTCGATGGTTCA